TGTAATAGAAAGGCAATCCACTGCTCTATCTCAATCATTGGTCAAAATGTGTCTTTTTTCACTTCATTCATATATGCTGCTAATTGTGTGGTTGAAAGACAGACTCTGTGGGATGATATCACCCACCATGCAAAAATCTTTGCACAAGCCCTTTGGTTGTTAATGGGTGACTTCAATGCCATCCCTAATATAGGAGAGAAACATGGTGGTTGCAGAAAATGGAGCAAAGCTATGACAGATTTTAAGGATTGTCTTCAAAATGCTGAGCTTGAAAACCTTAAATTCTGTGGTATACTTTATTCCTGGTCCAATAAAAGCATGAGGGATGCTTGCATTGCAAAGAAGCTTGATAAGGCTCTTGTAAACCAGAAGTGGACATTAACATTCCCAGTCTCAAAGTGCAACTTCCTTACACCAGGCATCTCTGACCATAGTCCAATATTGGTAGTCCAATATTGGTTACAATTAAGCTCAATTTTCCAAAAAAACAAGTTCCATTCAGATTCTTCAATGCTTGGTCTTCTCATAGCAATTTCTCCTCCTCAGTTCAAGGTATTTGGAGCACCTATATTAAAGGTACATCAATGTTTCAAGTTGTTCAAAAACTTAAACTGCTAAAACCTGTCCTTAGGAGCACTGGTGGCAAAGAAGCTTCAGAAATTGATTCCAAATTATATGTTGTCTAACTTGAACTTCAAGCTTGCCAAATGGATCTTGATTCAGCCCCTGGTGACACCACCCTCAGAGACTTGGAAAGGGCTCTTATAATAGATTTCTTGAGACCGGGTAAAATCCAATAAGATATCCTAAGGCAAAAGTCTAGAATAACTTGGTTAAAATTGGGGGATTGCAACTCATCTTTCTCCCACAGGTTACTCACTTCAAGGAATAACAGGAAGAAGATTAGTTCCCTCTCCTTAGATGATGGACAAACAATCCATGACATGGAGGACATCAAACTACAAGTTATCAATCATTTCCAGTACTTGCTAGGACAGCCACCACCCACAACATACCACATCTCTGACCTAGCCCCTTTCATAACCAAACAAGTTTCCATTGACCTACATCACTACCTTGAAGAAATACCATCATCCTTGGAAATTCAAACTTGTATGCTGGGACTTAACAAGGACAGAGCCCCAGGTCCAGATGGCTATAATGCATTATTTTTTCAAAAAGCTTGGAGTATAATTGGTAGGTCTGTTACAAAGACAATCTCAGAGTTTTTTAGGAGTGGCAAGCTACTAGCAGAGGCAAATAGTACCTACATTGCCTTGGTCCCTAAATGCCAAAACTCAACCACACTTTATAATTACAGACCTATTTCTTATGTGAACACTCTTTATAAATGTATTTCTAAGTTGCTTGCAACAAGGTTACAGTCAACACTACCCTCCCTTATTGACCAATCTCAATCAGTATTTGTTCATGGTAAGAGGATCTCAGATCCCATTCTCCTAGCACATGAGTTGCTCAGAGGTTATCATAAGCATGATAGACCTGCAAGATGTGCAATAAAAGTGGATCTCAAGAAGGCTTTTGATTCAGTAAAGTGGGATTTCATTATTCACTGCCTAAGTTTACACAACTTCCCACCAAAGTTCATTTCTCTCATCAAGGCTTGCATCTCTTATCCCTCCTTCACAATTGCTCTTAATGGTGAATTTCAAGGCTTTTTAAAAGGGCTTAGTGTCTTAGACAAGGGGATCCAATCTCCCCTTTCCTTTTTGTAATTGTCATGAATGCTTTCTCCTTAATAGTCAGCAACTATGTGAGAATGGTGTCCTCTTTTAAATACCACTGGACGTGTAAACAACAAAAAATAACCCACTTGTCCTATGCAGATGACTTGCTACTTTTCTGTCATGGAGATATATGTTCAGTTTTAGTCCTCAAGTCTGCACTTGACCTCTTTTGCTCTATGTCTGGCCTTGACATATCAAAGAGTGAAGTCTATCTCTTTGGAATCAATGATCATACGCAGCATGATATCACCTCACTACTGGGAATTGAAGTAGGGACACTTCCAGTGAGATACTTAGGTGTACTATTGATCTCCACTAACTTAAAAGCTCAATATTGTAGATTATTGGTAAGCAAGATCACTCACAGAATCAGTAATTGGACCTCAAGTTCTCTTTCCTATGCAGGTAGACTCCAATTGATTAAATCTGTTTTGGTCTCCATACAAAACTATTGGTGCAATATTTTCATATTACCAAAGGCTGTCATCGATGAACTTAACAAGATTTTTAGGAGATTTCTCTGGTCTAGTCCAGAAATGAAGTCTTCTAGCTCTAAAGTGGCTTGGAATAGGGTATGCAGCCCTCAAAATGCTGGTGGGGTTAGGGATCCCCAACTTGGAAATTACAAACAAGGCAAGGATAGCTAGATTCATTTGGGAACTCTTAACAGATGAGTCAAACAGGCTTTGGATAATGTGGTGCCACTCTCAACTCTTTAAGTCAAGGAACCTATGGACACTAAACTACCCTCAACCTTGCTCCTGGAGTTGGAGGAAAATCCTTTAACTAAGTACTCTACAAGACTGCTCATCAAGCGCTCCATAGGCAATGGTGCCTCAACATCATTTTGGTGGGACAACTGGGCTCCTGGTGGTCCATTGTGAACAAGATTTCCAATTAATCTACTTACTGAGGGTGGATTCAATGAGGCTACAACAGTGGACTATTTCATAACCAACAATGATCGGAACTTTCCCCCTATTTTAACCAACTCGATTCCTGAATTGTTAACCCTTCTTGCTCATTGTGTACACAGATCAAACACTAAGAGATGGACAGCTTCACCAACAGGGCTTTACTCCTTTAAGCACACCCTTGCACACCTAGCAGGTGAATTCCCCACTGTCCCATGGCATAATCTTGTTTGGCAATCTCCCACCATACTAAGAATGAAATTCAATCATTGGCTGGCTGTTCAATCTAAATTGCCTACTCTTGACAGCAAATCAATGGCTAAACACCATAACATTTGCTCTCTTTGCAATATGTCACTTGAATCCCATAGTCACCTATTCTTCAACTGTTCTTTCACATCCCCTCTTTGGCGTTTCATCAAATACAAGAGCAACATTCACACAGCAATTAACAATTGAGACAATTTAGTTATATGGATCAGTGATTATTATAAAGTGAATACTCCTATTAATCTACATAGGAAATTATGTTTTTCTGCTCTAGTGTTCCATACCTGAGAAAAGAGGAATGCAAGAATCTTCAAAGGTCAAAAGGCATTACAGAGGGTGGTTTGTGCAAAGATCTCATCTATTATTGCTGCAATTTTGAAATTGGGTTATCTGAGGGACTGCTCTTCCTCTAGATCGATTCTTCAAGGTTAGAATATCTCACCGTCCCACTGCAGACCTCCTCCTCCGCCGCCGGACTAGTTCTCAGCGATTTAGCCGCTTCTGTGCTACTACTGGAATGTATGTAGTGACTCCATTACACTGTTCTCACAGTGTAATGGCAGTTACAGTATCTTTGTATCTGCCCTAATATTGGGCTTGTTTGCTAGACATGTACCAGCCTTTTCTATTGTGGCCCAAAAGCCCATCTCATGTACATTATTTATATTCATATATGAAAATTGCTTTAATTTTTGAAAAAAAAAAAAAAAAACATAGCTGCGGACTAAATATCAATTTCAGAAAGGAAAAAAGAAAACAGAATTATAATAGGAATGTTAATTGGGGAAATAGATGTTACACTTATTGTCATTGAATTAGAGTGGTGTGTCAACATCTCTTCTTTTTTCATTTTCCTCTCTTATTAGTCTTCTCCACACGTGCACACTCTCTTACTATCTTTTTTGTTCAATAATTTTTTACCATTTTGTCACTAAGTTTAGCACTAACCCATCATTCTAATAAATTGAGTTGCCTAAATTCTTTTCTCATGGCATTAAGGAGGTTGCTCAGAGTGCTTTAAGTAAGTACTCATCAAGCCTTACTTCACCCGGCCATTACTAAAATAAAGAGGAAGCAGCTTAAGTTGAGGACGAGGTTGAAAGGCTTTAGATGTCCATCTTCAAAGAAAGCTTGGAGACTCTGTTCTTACATTTGGTTGCTAAAAACTGGGCCACTAAAGTTCAAGAATGTCCTTTGGAGATACCATTTTTTTTTTTTTTTTTTTTTCAATTTCTACTTTATATTCTCCTCTTTCCACATTAGCCTTCTTATTTAAAGTGTAAGTAATATGCTAGAGATTGAAAAAAAAAAAAAAAAAAAATGGAAGTGAGGAAATATTTGAAAACAAAACCCTAATCGTAACATGGATGTGCATTTGAGAGCAAAAAAAAAAAAAAAAATTGCTTTAGATCATATCCAAGGAAATCATATCATCTCCTTCAAAAATTTAATTAAAAATAATAAAGGAGGGAAAGGGAGCTTGTGTTGTCTGCAAATTAGGTAAATTGGGTAGAGAGTGGCAAGAGAGAGGCTTGTAATGGATTACTGTTGGTTTTAGGCTCCTTAAAAAAATAAAAAAAGTAGTCAATTAAGCATAATTTTCTTATAAATAAAAAATAAAAAAATTAAAGTAAGTAAAGAAGGTAAAAAAGAAAAGTTTATAGTGCAAAGGACAGTTACGATATAACGAAATAAGAGATGATGCATTTATTAGTTTAAGAATTTTTTTGTCATTTACTTTAAAAAAGAAAAGAAAAAGAAAAATATAGTATAAGTGTAGAAAAGTAAAATGCCAATATTGTCTCCTATTTTTTAACAATTTTTTTTTTTTTTTTTTTAACATGCACGTACCAGGATATGATTTGAATTTTGAAGTGGGTGAGTAAAATCTGATATCATTAATAATTATGATAAAATCAACTCTTAATCACCTAAAATTAGTTTGTCGCATTTCTTGTCATTACTCGTAGCATAATTATCATGGTCTAATTAACCATTGTGGGCACGAGTAGTGCCCAAATTATTTTAGGACTCCTCCGAATGCAATACAACTTGAGTGCATATATAATTAAGTTAACCATTACTTTTATGATTTATCATTTCCTAGTATGATAGCGCACTCTAGAGGGAAGGTGCCCAAATTGTTTTATGAATCCTAATACAGCACAACCGAGGGCATAGCACAGAGAGTTTGCTTTTCCCTTGTGCACGCACTCAATACAAATTGTCCTGTTAGCATTTCTAAATAGAAAACATATGAGGGCAAAGCAGAGAGACAATTAAAAAACAAAAACAAAAGTTTACAACATTATTAAGAAACCATACTAAGCATAAATTAGAGAAGACCCTTTTCTTTGCAGCATTGAATTGCCTCATCGTATATTTCATTGAGGCCGTTCTTGCACGTGAATCCAGAATCTAATAGCTTCTTTGATGAAAGGTTATAATATTTAAACCCTTCAGAGGAACTGCAGACATAAATGGTGGTCACTTGTATTGTATATACATGTGTGTGTGTGTGTGTGTGTGTATATATATATATATATATATGCTTGACATAGAAGAGAAAATTAATAAAAGACTGGATAAATAAACAATTAGAACTCACTCAATTTTTGGTATTTGATATTCAGGATATCTTGCTGATAAAAATTCAGACATCTCACGAACTGTTATTTCTACTGCTGAGCAAATGTACCTTCCTTTTGCCTCAGGATATTCAAGAAGGAAGATGTGTGCACTTGCAGCATCATCTACGTGCACCATAGGTGCAACAGTAAGATTTTTGTACTGATCTTTGTCACCTGCATAGATTAGAAAATTTTGTACAACAAAAATAATAATAATATAAAAATAATACATGAGTTCACTTTTTTTATAACAAAATTCAGATTTGATGGACTCCATAACTTTTGATCAATTCAACAATTTTAAATAGTTCTAACAAATTAAGAATGCAACCAAAGACAGACATATAAGAAACAACACATACCAAAAATCATAGCCAACGATGTATACACCGAACCCGGGCAACGGGGACAAATGAAGGGGCCAGTGATCATAGAAGGAATTAGTGAAACAAAATCCAACCCATTTTTTTCTGCAAACTCAAGACAAGTGTTTTCAATTAAGGTCTTAGTTATGATGTAGGATGCTCCAAAAGGCTTCAGAGCTTTAACAAAATCTACATCAGTCCACGCACTCTCATCAATTGAATCTAAACCTTTATCGTTAAATAAAACAGTGAATGCACTAGAAGTGTACACTACTCGTTTCACTGTCTTTGCATTGAGGCAAGCCTTTAAAATGCCTAGTGCCCCATTGACTCTTCTTTTGGTATCCATTTCTTCGGGTTCTTTGTCATCAAAAGCACCGGGATGAGCGACAAGAAAGACTCCCGTGCATCCTTCAACGGCTGCATCGAAACTGTCTGGCTGCTCAAGATCAGCAACAAAAATTTGGAGCCTCTCGGATGCGCCTGGAAGGTTTCTGAGGAAGCTAATGTCTCTGTTGATGTCTGTTCATATGCTAAAAATGTTACATTTTTCTGACTTGACAAACAATTGCTGTGGATGCAAGTAAAACACTACAACACAATGTTTGAATTAACTTTGTTTTTGTCGAAAGAGAACTTGAACACTTCACTACTTTCCTTTAAGTACCTAATTTTAGGTTGCTGATAATAGCATAGACATTTGACGACCATATGAATAATTTTATTACCCAAAATTGTTAAAATGGCAAATGTAAACATTGCTAATCTTGATTGGTTCTACAAAAAGAAAAAAGAAAAAAGAGAGAGAGACAGAGAGAATTGGGGGAAACACAATCAGCTCAGCCCAAGGGAAATTCTGAATCTATTCAATATGTATATTACATATATATATATATATATATATATATATATATATATATATATATATCCCCTCAATTCATGTCACTTCACTATTAACCAAGTCTGCAAAATCGATTTAATAATAGCACAACTCTTCACCACTAAACAATACTATTGGTTTATTGAAATTAAATATGTGGACTAAAAAATCATAATCTGAAAAATGATATATAAATGTTAAGTCTTGGAAAAAAATGGTATCCATAAACTTTTGAAGAGATGCAATATATACCTCTAATGGTAGTATGAACAGAGTAGCCATTTTGGAGAAGCTTCATGATCAGCCACGAAGCTAAGAACCCAGTTCCACCAGTCACACACACAACTCCCTTATCATTCCCTGCCATCTCCCTCCTCTCTCTAGATAGTTAACAAACACGAAGGAGAGGTCTCTCCGTGAAAACGTTGAATCTTTAAAAAAGATCGATGCATTATATATATATATATATATATATATATATATATATATATATATATACCCAAGAACACAAAACGACAAGATAAAGAAGTTGAGGAGGAGACTATAGCCACGCAGTGAACAAAGAGTGAACTGTACAAGTACTAATACCCTCTGATTTTGTCAAAATAACTATTTAACCTAATGAGAAATCTGATTGTGTACAAATATTGAGGTACTAAATCAACCAATTGAAAAAGAAATGGTATTATTTACTTAAATTTTCGTTCAAAAATTTATTAACATTAAATTATACGAGTGAGTCAAAATTTTATATATATATATTTTTTTGTCTAAATTACATTATCAACTTTGACTGATTTCGTGTGATTTAGTGTTAATGAATTTTTGACTAAAATTTTGACTTTATAATTCTCGTTTAGATTTGTAATTCTAGCTCAGCTTCATGATATTTTATAAGAGAGACCTCGTAGTACCATTAAAAAAAAAATGCAAATGTTCTACTTGTCTTAGATCCCTTATATTAATAGTTCATTTGGAAGGATGTAAGAAAAAATAGGTCCCACTCCAATTCATGGAAAGGCCAGTCCTGTGTGTCTTTCCTTCTCATAATACATCCAATTAATTATCTTTGTTTCTCCTTATAATGTACTCTTGCAAAATCTGATTGGAACATTTCAAAATTGTATTCATAATCTTTCAAGCCATTATTAAGTCTACACATCAGCAATCAGTTAACACAAAGCAAATTAAATTTATGTATTGAGTCAACAAATACATAAACACTCGATTACAGATTACTTAAAAAAAACACACACACACACACTCAATAAGAGCTTAACCATTCATACAACTTGTTTAGTCCAAGTAGAAAACAATTGGGTTTAGAACATTAAACCATGTAGATAGACTAGAGAAAACCCTTTTCTTTGCAGCATTGAATGGCTTCATCATACATTCCATCAAGGCCATATTTAAATTTGAAGCCAGCATCCAAGAGCTTCTTTGATGAGAGACCAGAGTATTTAATACCCCCTTCAAATTCCTTTAAGCTACTGCAGATATATATGTATATATATATATATATATATATCAGTGATCATTCTCTCTCTCTATGTGTGTGTATAAATGTATATATGTATATATAGAAGAAAAAAATGAAAAGAGTGGAGATAAATAATTAGAACTCACTCAGCATTTGGTATTTGATATTGTGGGTATCTGGCTGACAAATATTCAGACATCTGATAATTTGTTACCTCTAGTGCTGAACAAATGTACCTTCCTTTTGGATCAGGATATTCAAGAAGGAAGATGTGTGCACTTGCCACATCATCTACGTGCACCAAAGGTGCATTAGCAATAAACCTATATTGATCCTTGTCACCTACATACATGTATAGATCGATGATATATCAGAAACATTAATTGTACCACTAGAGTAGCAACAAAATTATATTGATTCTTGTCACTTCATGTATAGATCAGAAAACAGTGATTGCACAAGAAACACAGTCACATACCGAAAATCATAGACAATGATGTGTAGACTGAGCCGGGGCAACGTGGACAAATGAAGGGGCCAACAATAAATGAAGGAATTACTGTCACAAGATCCAATCCATGTTCTTCTGCAAACTTCAGAGCTGCCCTTTCTGTCAGTTGTTTGGAAATCATGTATGAAGCTGCATAAAGCTTATGTTCTCTGATAAAATCCATGTCACTCCATGTACTCTCATCCATTTCTTCTAAACCCTTGTCATTGAACACAACAGTTGATGCACTAGAAGTGTACACCACTCTTTTCACTGTCTTGGAATCGAGGCAAGCTTGTAAAATGCTTAGAGTCCCATTGATTGCTCTTCTGGTCTTGACTTCTTCAGGTTCTTTGTCCTCCAAATCGATGGGATGAGCCACGTGAAACACTCCAATGCATCCTTCAATGGCTGCATCAAAACTGCCGGGCTGCTCCAGATCAGCATTGAAAATCTGGAGCTTTTCGGGCGCGCCTGGTAGGTTTGTGAGGAAGCTGACATCTTTCTTCTTGTCTAGTGATCATAGGCCTTAAATGTTACAATTTTGTGACTTTGCACTTGACAAATGAGTACTGTGAAAGTGTGAATACAATTATGCAACTACAACACAAAGTTGAATTTTTCTTTGTTTTTGTGTTAAGAGGAAAGTGGAATTTAATTTAGTTGACTAAAAATTCTAAGGTTTGGTGATTTCTTTGAGAGGGGACTACCATGGTTTCGGACATTAATGGCATATAAGGTTGCTAAATTCGGGAACAACCCATGTTGCAGTTTTTACTCTTCTTTACCAATCAATCCATTTATATGCCTCTCTCACTACACACGCACACTAATATATACATATATCTGTGTGCGGGAGAAAGAGAATTGAGTCAAAATCAACAAATACTTTTTTTTTTCTTTCTTCCTAGTTGTTACACACACGTGCCTCCACCAAAATTCGAACCATTTCTCTTTTGAAAAGTAGGGATCTGATACCGTTAGACCACTGGCCTATTGATAATCAACAAATACTTCAACTTAAGAAAATTCAGTGGATCCAATATGTTAGAATAAAAGCTCAACTTATAATATGATCTATTTTAAAATAAGGAAGCCATCTTTTCTTTATGGCACTTTACAGAAAACCATTCTTAACAATATCAACCCTTTACCACTAAACTACACTTCAGATTTTTTTATTGATTATTATATGCTTAAAAGATCACAAAGATAAATAATAATAAAAAAAATGATATAAATGTTTGTCTTTAAGGTGTTCCCTTGGTCCGAACTCCCAAATCAAATTAGATAAAGATTAGCATCAAATTGTTATTGTTATTCATGAGAAGCAGCAATTAATATATACCTACCTGGGTCAGATCTAATGGTGGTCCGAACAGAGTAACCATGTTGAAGAAGCTTCTTGATCAGCCATGAAGCTAAGAACCCTGTTCCACCTGTTACACACACAATTCCCTTATCATCATCATCAACTCCTGCCATCTCTCTCTCTCTATCTCTCTCTCTAAGCATACAAAGTGGAGAATGTATTGCACAAAAAGTTCCTTTAGTGGACTAATTGATTACCCTTACCCCCTTAAGTCACTTTGTTTATCTCATTAGTGGAAAGATACAAGTTGTCACCCTCTCAATTTTGGTGGGTGTATGCTTTATCTACCAACTCTTTCACCTTCCACGACCTTGAGCTAATTTTGGACTAATCAGAAAGCAAAGTCACACTTGAACTTGCATACTACAATTAAAAGTGCATAGAATATTAATTCTTGTAATCACCTAATATTTTGGTTTCTAATGTAAGATTTATTATTATTATTATTTTTAATCTCGACACCAAATTTTACAGTTGAATAGCCTAACCATTACAATAGTTACATTAAACCTATTGGTCTGGTGGTGGATGATTGTTACTTGGGATAAGTCCACAAAATAACCATTCCATACCCCATTCTTTAGACATCACCAAACACATTTTAGTACTCAAACATTGCTTTATAGAAGTGCAGATGAAGGCTTGGTTAATATTTTTCAATTTTTAGTTTCATTCACTTCTTAATTGATTTATATAAATTTAAATGTTAATCACTTTAATTTTTTTTATTTACATGTTACTGTAGAATTTAAATGTTACTGGGTGGATGTTTTGATCACAATAGATGGGGGGATTTGGGTCTCATGATGCTCAGTTCATGGCCCTTGATGGCATGATAAAAATATGAATTAGATTATGCTTTTAATCCTTGTGCAAACTCTTATGCCTGCTCAATTTTCTCAAAATTCAAAGCAACACAATGGGACAAAGACCGCGAATATTTACTTTCTCACATATCAAAATAGAAAGCCGTGGGTTAAAGTATGGTATGAACAAGTATTTTCTTCACTCACACACAAATTTTTTGAACTTCATTTATTTTTTGTGGAAAAACTGAGTTGTTTTGATTTAAATACATAATTTCAAATCTGACCAAGATAATCCATCAATCTAATTCTCAAAGATAGAAAACAGCTGAGGACGTAACAGAGACACAATTAGGCAGAAAACAGTACTTGGTTTACAACATTATAATCAATTAAATCAGATAAATTAGAGAAACCCCTTTTCTTTGCAGCATTGAATGGCTTCATCATACATTTCATCAAGCCCATATTTATATTTGAAGCCAGCATCCAAGAGCTTCTTTGATGAGAGACCACTGTGTTTAAAATACCCTTCAAATTCCTTTAAGCAACTGCAGAAATAAAAAGTGTTTGATCATTATCGCTATATCTATGTGTGTGTAAAAGAATAAATAAAAAAGAAAAAAAGTGGAGATAAAGAATTAGAACTCACTCGGCCTTCGGTATTTGATATTCTGGATATCTGACTGACAAATATTCCGACATCTGATAAATTGTTAATTCTTTTGCTGAACAAATGTACCTTCCTTTCGCATTAGGATTTTCAAAAAGGAAGATATGTGCACTTGCCACATCATCGACGTGCACCAAAGGTATATTACCAAGAAACTTATATTGATCCTTGTCACCTACATGCATGGCATAAATTAGGAAAATTAATTGTACAAGAAAAAAATATCAGTGTGTGACAAACTTTATTGAGACAGAACCGAAAATCATAGCCAATGATGTGTAGACAGAACCGGGGCAATGTGGGCAAATGAAGGGGCCACCAATAAAAGAAGGAATTACAGTCACGAGATCCAATCCATGTTCTTCTGCAAACTTTAGAGCTGCTCTTTCTGTTAATGTCTTGGAAATCATGTATGAAGCTCCAAAAGGCTCAAGTTCTCTGATAAAATCTATGTCACTCCATTTACTCTCATCCATTTCTTCTAAACCACCCTTGTCATTGAGCACCACAGTCGATGCACTAGAAGTGTACACCACTCTTTTCACTGTCTTGGAATCAAGGCAGGCTTTTAAAATGCTTAGAGTCCCATTGATTGCTCTTCTGGTCTTGACTTGTTCAGGTTCTTTGTCTTCGAAATCAATGGGATGAGCCACATGAAACACTCCAATGCATCCTTCAATGGCTGCATCAAAACTGCCTGGCTGCTCAAGATCAGCATTGAAAATCTGGAGCTTTTCGGATGCGCCTGGTAGGTTTGTGAGGAAGCTGACATCTTTCTTCTTTTCTGGTGATCATATATGTGCTATAAATGTTACATTTTTGTGACTTTACACTTGACAAGTGACTACTGTGAATATAATAATGCAACTACAACACACAGTTGGATTTTGTTTCTACGTAAAATATTTTTTTATTTTTTCTTTTTCAGTATTTTGCAAAGGTACAAGATTAAAGTCGAGTTTATCGGGTAAGGTATGTAAAATAACTTATCTAAAATTTTTGGATAAGTTATTTTTGTTAAATTTTAATATATTTAGTAAATATTTTACGGCAACCAAATACCAAAAAATAAAAAATATATTATGAAAAATATTTTACATCCAAACAAAAAGAATGGGAGTGAAAAATGGTTTGGGACATTAAAAATTCCAAGGTTGCTAAATTCAGGAACAACCAGGTTGCACTTTCATCCCTTCTTCACCAATCAATCCACTTATCAGTCTCTCTTTCACTATACACACATAACTCTGTGTGTGTGAGAGAGAGAATCTAGTTAAAATCAACAAATACTTCAACTAAAAGAAAATTTTGGCGAACCCAATATGTAAGAATAAAATTGTTGGGAATAAAAATAATAATAAAGAGAGCTCTCACAAAACCCTAACATATTCGGATGCCCCTCTGCTTATCAACAACCCTAACACAAAAGAATAAGGGGCTAAATTACAAAGGCATCCAAGGGTATAAATTGGAGTCCGCGAAATGGCAACATAAACTGGTCATGTAATTCAAGCTCTACAACCTCAACCACAAATAAATTTTACCTTAATATAAGGAACTAATCTTAAAGATCCCAAATATGAATAAAAACTGATGTACATGATATATGAACATTAACATCAATTTGTTAATCATGAGAAGCAATCAATACCTGGGACAGACCTAGTGGTGGTCCGTACAGAGTAACCATGTTGAAGAAGCTTCATTATAAGCCATGAAGCCAAGTAGCCTGTTCCACCTGTTACACACACAATTCCCTTATCGTCATTTCTTGCCATCTCTCTCTCTGGGTTTAATTATGCTAACAAAATGGAGATTGCGTATTGCACAAAAAAAAAAAAAAAAAACTTTAATTGATTTGTACACCCTTAAGTCAACTCTGTCCGTCTTTGGAGGAAAACAAAGAACTTGTCACCCTTTTTAATTTGGGTAATTTACACAGATATTTTTTTTTTTTTTTATGATTTGTTATAATTACAGACTGTATCCTTTCATTTTTGAAAATTACGCCAATTTTTCATATTTTTTAAAATATCCTGCACAGAGACGGACCGTTAAATACGTTAACGGATCTGTCAAAATTACTAAAATTCCTTCTCCTTGGCATCTGAAATTACTAAATTACCCATCAACTTTTAATTAAAAAAAATGTTCTATCTCTTTCCACCACCATCTCCTCCGACCGCCGGCAACTTCTTCCATCGCCATCTCCTCCCACCGCCGGTGACTTCTTCTGCCACTTCCGCCACCTCCTTCCACCACCGTCGCCGCCGCCACCAACACAGAGACAATCTTGGCTAACCAAGCCCAAAGGAAAAGCTTCTTTGTTGCCGCCGTTTCAACTCACTATCAGACCTTGTTCCCCGCCGTACAGCATCGCTATCCTGAGCACATCCACATATATATCTTCAAGAGAGGTGAATCAAGATGGAAGCTTTCTGTTTTTGGTCCATGAACATCACAGCTCTACATCCGGTCGGTTTGGTCGTGTTGTTTTCCGATTTGGCTCTTTGTTTGGTCTGAACAGGAACTGAAACACGCCGGACCGGTACTCGCTACTAGGTCAGACCAAGCTTACCGAAAGAGGTTGGACAAAGCTCGTCGTTTGTTCACCAGAGTCGCATGCATGTCTTGCAACTCACTGGATGGTCACCAAAATGGGTCTCATTGTTATGGGTTTTGCTGAAATTGCAGCTTGCCAGATTTCTGTCACCGGAACTGTTGTTCGTCTTAACTAAGACATGCTAGGGTTGTTCAGTCTTTGATTGCAGCTCGCCGGACTTGTTGCTGCAGGATGAAGATCACCGAAAAAGCTGGATACTTCTGAACTAGAGGTGCGCTGGTTCAATCACCGTCACCGGAGCTAGAAATTGTAGTTTTGAAGCTCGCGGTTGTGTCCCCGTCACCGAAATGGGTATGTCTTTAGTCATCGCCGGAGTTTGCACCGATAGAAATACACCGAAGATGAAGCTTTCTCTATATTTGCACAGACGGGAGATCACCGGAATCATGGTTCATCCACTTGATGCTCTTCCACTTGATTTCTCAACTCTCCATCGTGGCCGGAATATTAAGAAACCAAGAACCCAGAGCGCGACCACAGCAGAAAGAACACCGCCAACAAGGGCTGCAACTGGTCTTCGATTGTCCTTCTTCGTTGGCTCAGGCTGTGGAGTAAACGGTGAAGCCGGTGTTGGAACTGGGTCAGGGTTGAGTCCGGCGAGTCTGTGATTCCGGATTAGGATGCAGAGCTATGGACAGATTCTGTTTCTTTTGATCTCTTCCTTGACTCCCCCTAATCACTTCATAATCTTTAAAAACCAAATCAAATCATATTGTGAAAGGGACAAATCAAATCATATTGTGAAAGGGACAGATCATTATATATATATATATATATACATTGGTAGGGACAAGGGTATTTTTGACATTTCATGAAAATAGTAGCTGATGTCATCATTTTCCGTCGTTGACTCTAACAGAAGGGAGGTTCGTGTAGGATATTTTAAAAAGTAGGGGAGGTCCGCGTAATTTTCGGAACAAAAAAGATGCTGCCTGCAATTATGGCAAACCATATGGGAGGTCTGTGTAAATTACCCTTTTAACTTTGGTGGGTGTATTCGAATATAAATCCAAAATTTTTATAAATATATGGACTTATAAGTTATAACCACCCAACTCTGTTTGTCTTTAGAAGACAATACTTAAGTTTTAGTATCACCAACTGCAATTCAAGCGGGTTAGGCAAATTTGAGGTATAACTTGAGCCCAATTCATTATATGAAATGTTAAATTCAAGCTTAACTCTAACTCCTAATTCTATTTACAATTCTAATTATTCAATCCGAACCCAACCTATCCTTCTACTTTTAAATTCGAACTTGCAATTCGGGCTTAGATTCCAAGTTAAAAATTTGGATTAATTCATATTATTCGTGTGGTTAATCTTTATACGAAAAATTTAATATGATCTTGAATTAGTTTTAAAATTAAATTATTCTTAAAGAAAAAAAAAATTAAAGATTTTTTTTTTTTTGTAAATTTTTAATAAATTAAAAACAAATTCGTAGAAAATTAATTCTCCTAAATGTTAGCATACAATAAGTCAATATTTAACAAAAGAAGTTGAAAAGGAAAAAAAAAAAAATATATATATATATATATATATATAATGTTTAAATATTATATATAATGTATTTAAATTAAAAATATATAAAAATAATATTAGAATTTGGGTTAGGGTTCCGGTTGGCTCGGGTTATTAGCACTTCAATCCAAACCCAACCTTAATTAAATTCGGATTGAGATTTTTCAATTAAGACCCAACCATAATTATAAAAATTATTGTCCAAGGCTTGCGAAAAATCGAACTGGCTCGCGTTGGGTTCATGTTGCCCAACCCAAGTTTCACCCCTAATTACCAGATATCACAATACTCTAATTAAAAAAAAGAAAATATTTTACAAAAATAGCCTAATCAAAAAAGAAAAAAACTAACAAATTTTGATAAAATTATATCACTTGAAGTTCAAACCCACTTGAATATATCAACTACTTAGTGGTTATTTAAAGTAATTTAATTAAAATGTTAAATTATTTTTTTTCAAATTCAATAAGATTATATTACGTCAAACCTACATGAAATGTATTAACTATTTAGTGATATTCATGCTAGGTTTAAAATTAAAAGAAATTTAATTATAATGTTAAATTAAATTTTCTCAAATTCAAAAGTCTCATAGACCCAAAAAATAAAAAAATAAATAAATAAACATATCCATCTGTCATCAATAAGCCGTTTAAAAACTAACGGTTGCTTAGACATGTGACGCTCACGTGACAATGATAAAATGAAAATGACATAACGCCCTTCTGCAAAGACACCAATGCCCTCCTTTATCTATTCGTTCTATGTGTCTGTTTTCTCTGTCCTCCTCTCCCTCTCAAATCCAACATCCTATGTATCAATATTTATTCTCCGTTGCTGCTTTTCGGGTTGAAGGAGGTGAAGTGGAAAGAGATAGGGCTTGGTTACATATACTGCGACTGGTTATTGTTGCATCAGTGTTTTTTCTCTCCCTCCGTGCTTTGCGGTTTCTGTATTTTCCAACGTTTAAGGCATTGTTGTCTAATCTATGTCGGTCAATTTGCTACATGTGAGGAGCCCATTTGCAAACCCTAGGTGGAGTTTCACCTTGTTCTCTAATTTCGATTAGTCATTTCTCTAACTGTGGTTTTAGTCTTGTTAATTAAAATATTTTAATGAAATTCATGTTGAATTCGAATCACGTTTTTGAATATGTAGATAATATGTTTGATGAAATAACCCAATGACAAAATGTTGTGTAAGGCTTTTTTAGATACTTCCAATTGGAGTTTGATAATTACAGGAGTTGCAAATCTTTGTTTCATTCTTTCCAAGTCATTGATATTTAATTGGTTGTTGTTTGGTTCTGATTTTTTTTTCATAATTGCATGAGTTTTAAACCTTTATTACAGGTCACTGGAGTTTGCACGCTAGAAGAGAAGTTGAGTGAGTGTTGGATTGTGTCTGAACTCTGAACTTTGGTTGAGGGGAGTTTAGTTGTAAGAAGCCAAAACGACGCGGTTTTGCGGTAAGTTCTCTTTTGTCATTTCAAATTTTGCTCTTTTTTAGGAGTATATATTTTTTCTTCTTTTTATGAAGGGTAAAATAATAAATTCATGCCATGGCACTATTACCAATTGCAACTATTAAATATAGCTTAGGGGTTATTTAAAGATCTAGGAGGTTAACTGCAACTGGATTTTAGTTGAAGGGGTTTTATTCATAATATTTCCCAGCCACGAAATCTTGCTAACTCATAACATTCAACTCCACAGCGCTAGAGATCAGTTATAGCAAAATCTCTGTATTAAGTCAACAAACACATTTACACTAAATAAAAGTTTAACCATTCATGCAACTTGTTTTGACCAAATCCGTACCCTTAATTAATACAAACGATCTAGTAAACTTAATACAGTATCTTTTAGAACACTATATAATCAATTAAACCATGCATGCAGAGAAATTAGAGAAAACCCTTTTCTTTGCAACATTGAATGGCTTCATCGTACATTTCATCAAGCCCATATTTATATTTGAAGGCTGAATCCATGAGCTTCTTTGATGAGAGGCAAGGGTATTTAAAAAACCCTTCAAATTCCTTTAAGCAGCTGCAGAAATAAATATGTATAGGTGATCATTCTCTCTATATGTATATGCATGTGTATATGTATATATTGAAGAAAAAAGGAAAAGGAAAAGAGTGGAGATTAACAATTAGAACTCACTCAGCATTTGGTATCTGATATTGTGGGTATCTGGAAGACAAATATTCAGACATCTGATAAATTGTTAACTCTGCTGCTGAACAAAGGTACCTTCCTTTTGCATCAGGATATTCAAGAAGGAAGATGTGTGCACTTGCCACATCATCTACGTGCACAAAAGGTGTACGAGCAAGAAGTTTATAGTGATCCTTGTCACCTACATGTATAGATTAGAAACATTAATAAATTGTAAAAGAAAAATTTTGGATGCGTGACTTTAAGTTTGATTGACTATGATCACAATAAGATGCCTGCGTAAACTTGTTTTGATACTTTGAATCAACTAGGTGGATACTCCTAAAATAGTTCTATCAAAAACACCAACAATAGGTTGGTTTTACTACTATATATATGGATATATTCATGTATCCGACTCATGAATTCAAATCACACATCTGAATCCTTCTCATGTGATGATAGAAGAAGTAAAAGCTGAATTAATTGTAAAGAAGGGTTTCCAACTTTTGAGATAGATAGAAATCGCCATTTCTTGTCATATCCAATTTGATATAAATTGTCACAAAAGAACAATAATATCATACTCATATCATACTCGCACTTTTCCTTTTATCTTAAGATTTCGGATTTAGAACATTTCAACACCTAGACAAACACACCCGATATGCAAATCTATTTAACATACTTTATTGAGAAGCAACAGAGTCACATACCGAAAATCATAGACAATGATGTGTAGACTGAGCTAGGGCAACGGGGACAAATGAAAGGGCCAACAGTATAAGAAGGAATTACTGTCACAAGATCCAATCCATGTTCTTCTGCAAACTTTAGAGCTGCCCTCTCTGTTAATGTCTTGGAAATCATGTATGAAGCTCCAAAAGTCTTGAGTTCTCTGATAAAATCTGTGTCACTCCATGTACTCTCATCCATTTCTTCTAAACCCTTGTCATTGAACACAACAGTTGATGCACTAGAAGTGTACACAACCCTTTTCACTGTCTTGGAGTCAAGGCAAGCTTTTAAAATTCCTAGAGTCCCATTGATTGCTCTTCTAGTCTTGACTTGTTCTGGTTCTTTGTCTTCGAAATCAATGGGATGAGCCACATGAAACACTCCAATGCATCCTTCAACGGCTGCATCAAAACTGCTGGGCTGCTCAAGATCAGCATTGAAAATCTGGAGCTTTTCGGATGCGCCTGGTAGGTTTGTGAGGAAGTTGACATCTTTCTTCTTGTCTGGTGATCATATATATGCTATAAATGTTATAATTTTGTGACTTTGCACTTGACAAATGACTACTGTGAATATAATAATGCAACTACAACACAAAGTTGGATTTAACTTTTTCTTTGTGGTCTCTCCAAGGGCATAGCCACGTTGGTAGGGATTCGGGAGTTAAGTTTTTGAGGACTCGCTTTCGAACCGCACTCCTGACTTGAATAGTACGTGTGTTGTAAGTCCGATATACATTATAAGAGAGAAAAAAAAAAAAAAAAAAAAAAACAAAACAAAACAAAAAACTGTGGGAGAGAAAAGTGAAATTTAACGTATATTTAAAAATTCTAAGGTTTGACCATTTCTTTGGGACTAGAATGGCTAGGGACATTAATTGCATATTACCTTTGTCAGTACCAATCAGACAAGGTTGATAAATTCATGAACAACCCACGTTGCACTTTCAACTCCTCTTCACCAATAAATCCACTTATCAGTCTCTCTTTCACCACACACTGTGTGTGAGAGAAAGAGAATCTAGTTAAAATCAACAAATACTTCAACTAAAAGCAATTTTTGGTGAATCCAATGTGTAAGAATAAAATTGTTGTGAATAAAAAAGCAATCAAAGGGAAAACAATTACATAAGAAACACAATATTTATTTAGTTTGGCAAAAACATTTGCCCACGTCCACAGAGCACACTAGAAATTTTACCATCAGCAATGGGTATTTACAGCACAGAGCTCTCACAAAACCCTAAAATATTCGGCTACCTCTCAACTTATCAACAACCCTTACACAAAAGAATAAGGGGCTTAAATAAAAAGGCATCCAAGGGTATAAATTGGAGTCCGCAAAATGGCAACATAAACTGGGCATGTAATTCAGGCTCCACACCCTCAACAAAAAGCTCAACTACTAATAAATTCTACCTTAATATAAGGAACTAATCTTAAAGATCACAAATATGAATAAAAACTGATATACATGATATTATGAACATTAACATCAATCGTTAATCAGGAGAAGCAATCAATACCTGGGTCAGACCTAATGGTGGTCCGAACAGAGTAACCATGTTGAAGAAGCTTCATTATAAGCCATGAAGCCAAGTAGCCAGTTCCACCTGTTACACACACAATTCCCTTATCATCATTTCCTGCCATCTCTCTCTCTCTTGGTTTAATTATGCTAACAAAATGGAGATTGTGTAGTGCACAAAAAAATTATTTAAATGATTTGTACACCCTTAAGTCAATTCTGTTTGTCTTTATCGGAAAACAAAGAACTTGTCACCCTCTTAATTTTCGTGGGTGTATCTATTCGAATCTATATAAATCCAAAAATATTATAAATATATGGACTTGTAATAATCACCCAACTCTGTTTGTCTTTACAGGTCAATACCCACGTTTTAGTATCATTTGGGATTGCAACTTGAGTGGATTACACGGTTTGAGGTATAACTTGAGTTCAACTCATTATATGAAATGTTAAATACAAGTTCAATCCTAATTTTAACCCTATCTTTAATTTTAACTATTCAATTTGAGTCTAACCCATCCTTCTATTTTTAAATTCGAGCTTGTAACACGGGCTTAGATTTCAAGTTAAAACTTTGAGTTAATTCAGGTTATTCATATGGTTAATCTTCATACGGAAAATTTGATAAAATCTTGAATTTGTTTTAAATTAAATTATTCTTAAACAAAAAAAGGTTTAAAGACTTTTTGTAAATTTTTAATAAATTACAAATAAATTCTTAGAAAATTAATTCTCTCAAATGTTAGCATACAATAAGTCAAGATTTAACAAAGGAAGTTGACAATATATATATATATATATATATATATATATATATATATATATATAGTTTAAATATTATATATAATGTATTTAAAATTAAAAATATTTGAAAATAATATTAGAATTCGGGTTCGGATTAACTTGGACTATTAGCACTTTAACCCAAGCCTAACCTTAATTAAATTCGAGTTGAGATTTTTCAATTCAGACCCAATCATAATTGTAGAACTTATTATCTAAGCACGCGAAAAATCAAACTGGCTCGAGTTGGGTTCAGGTTACCCAACCCAAGTTGCACCCCTAATCACCGGATATCACAATATTCTAATTAATTAAAAGAAAATATTTTTCAAAAATAACCTAATCAAAAAAGAAAAAACTAACAAATTTTAATAAAAGAGTAATGATAACCGATCAAATTGGTCTACTCCTAGTCTGAATCCTATGTATAATTGTCACATAATTACCTAAATCGTTAATATTTCTTTGTACGCTAAAGATACTAAAAAAAAATAAAAATAGAAAGAAGCTGAAGAGGTTTTGATGATCCCTCTTTGATTTCAGTCTTTCTCTCTGTGACTCACGGTTTTCTTTTCTACTTTACAAAATTGAAGGGAAAACAAAGGATTGAAAAGTCTCTACTGGTTCATAAAATCAAAGGGGAAAATATATATAAACGTATATATTTGCTTGAAGAGAAAAAAATAAATCCTAATAAGATTAAAAGTATGTATTCATGTTTTTTTTTTTTCAATATATATTTTGACTTCGGTATATTGTATCAATTATATATATATATATATATATATATATATATATATATATATACTTCAAAAGTTCATTACAAAGTGGATCATATATTATCAGAGGATATAATTGTTGGCATCCCCAATTATACATAGTATTTACCAATATATAAGGAAAAGTTGAAGACAATGAAAACATTAACTTTTGAACAGAAATTATATTGATCCATTTATCAGTGTTTCAAGGTTCACCAAAAAAAGAGATTTGAAAGCAAAAAAATTACCAAACATCAACAATTCAATCATAAAAGTTCAACTATTTGCCGTCATAAAACAACATAAATACTCTGATAACCCGATTTTTTTTATATTTTAATTTATTATTATTATTATTTTTTTTTTAGTTTGTGTTATGGAGGTGTAGTTGTTGTCATTTATATATATATATTATATTATATATATATATATATATATATATATATATATATAGATACACACACACACACACACATATATATATATGTATCATTTGATGGAATAAAAAGGTGGGAGCAAGGCACAGTGAGCCGAAGTGATGAGAAATGAAATAAAAATAGGGGTAAAGTGCACAAAACCCCCCTGATCTATACTTTCTCTCCCTAAAAACCCCCCCTGAACTTTTATTTTTACAATTAATCCCCTAAGCTATCTAAATTTTTGCAGAAATCATCCACCGGCAAGGTTCCGTCTTTTTCCTTCGGCTAAATAGGCGCGTGATGATCAGATGCCAAGGTTGTAATTTTAAAATGACAAAACGACCCTTCTTGTATAAACCCAAAATTCCCGATATTTTCCAAAAAATTCAAAATTAAAACCAAATGGTCATCTCTCTCCGGAACTTGACAATCAAAAACCCTAATTTTTTTTTATTCTTCCCAACTAGCCACCTCCTCTATCCATGGACATCTCCAACTCTATCTCTCTCTACAATCCACCTCCAACTCCAACAAGAAATTGAAGAAGATGAGAATTTTTTTTTTTTTTTTTTTAAAGTTACAACAAGCAACAACAAACTCTCTCTCTCTCTGTTGTCCAAACCCCCTTGAACCGAACTTTCCAAAAAAATCAAAGAGTCATACGCATAACCCCAAAGAATAAACTATCTCTGTTTTGCTGCTTAATCGACCAAAAACATCATTTTGTGGGTGATGTTGACGGATGATGATAGTCGATAACCCAATCAAAGGAACCCAAATTCTAGCTTAAAGACCCAATCACAAAAGCTGCAAATTCAATCTCAAAAACCCCAAAAATATATTGTTGCCGATCCCCAATTCTACAGAAGGCAAGTCGTTGTGGATCCTAAAGTAAAGGCTTGGTGGCTCGAAATAAAGACGATTTAAAAGCCAACAGCGGCTGAGAGATTGAATGACCATCGGATGTATGAACTGGGGCTCATTTGACTAGTTTCGTGGTGTGTTGCACCAGGCCTTTCCTTTAGGTAAACTGAGCGAGTGGATCTAAATCGAAAGATGTGATCATAGGTTGATTGCTTAACCTTAAACCAAGAAAGAAAGTGAGGTCATATGAGCGCCTGCTCGCCTCTGACTCTTTCTTCTTCTTTGCCGTAGTGAAGCGGTGACCAAAACTAGATAGATGCTTCGATCTCGAAGAGAAAGCGGCTACGTGACGTGAATCGGCCAACTGTGCAGTGAGAATCTTGATTAGCACCAAATGGGTCACCATAGCTTCTGACAACGAACCCAAACACCAAACCAACCCAATCGTAACTCCCCAAATAATTTGTGTTATTCTTGCAATTAATTCCCCTCCAAACACCAACCTTTACAACCAAAACATAAGAATCTTTGTAGAGGAAAGAGAGCGGTGGCGGTGGCGGTGGCGGTGGCAACCATCGACGGACGATAGAAGGGTCGTCTTCCTCATCACTGCTTCACCGCTGGTGCTACGACTGTTAGTGGAGGAACGCAAGGTGTGATACCCCCTAATTTCGGAACACGGGTTGATCAAGTCCGCGCATAAAATCAGGGGATATCAAAGCAATTACAGTATTTAAACAAGCACAGATTACAAAATGAAACAAAGAATAAAATAAAACGCTGAAGAAACTAATAAATAATAAGTCCCTTAATAACTTCCAAACGGTTACAACTCGGGAATCCTGTAACTCAAGTACCCCTTAACCAAAAAAAATCCATAATCCAGAAGTTCATTATTAAATACTAGTAACAAACGAAGAAATACTAATATCCTACTTTTAAATAAAGCGAAAGAGTGGATAAGTCCTCCAACTGCGCATCCTCAACCTTGAGACTTGAACTTCTAATAATCTTGAAAAAATAAATCGTGGGTTAAACCCTACGAGCAAGCTCTCTCTACTAAGCCTCTGAAAACCAATAAACAAATCATCTATACCAAACATCAACCCTACTAAAGTTTTAACTTTATTACACAATGCTACAAATATATATAAATACTTATATATGTAGTACTTAAATTGCCAAAACCATTAACCAATGGTTAATTACTAATCATACCTAAACTAATCCGACAATATATATTTCTTTTAAAAGAAACTCATCAATTCCTTAATTTTATCAAAGACAATAATTTAATCATCTAAGCAATAAATTACAATTAACCGAATAATGAATTAAATCCAAAACCCAATAGTGATTTTTAGTTATTTAAAACACACCACTAATATCCAGGCCTTGACAAATCCTCCATGTCACCCCACATTATTCTATTTATGTATATAAAATAACGCACTAACTGGTAAGTATTGGATTATTTTAGTCTTAATCCAACATATACATACAATATTCATAGATGAAATTTTAATCATCTAACACGTAATAATTTAATTCTGCAATGGTAACTCAACCATGCCATTGTAAGTATATCTATTTATGTATTAGCAATTCAACTATGCTTCCTTAAGTATATTTATTTATACTTTTAAATAGCAATTCATCCATACTTCCTCTACATGAAATTATTCATAAATAATAAGGCCATATATATTTAAGCCGTTGGCAACTCACCCATGCCTACAATTCAACCATGTACCATATCGTAAAACTAATTTAACCATATACCAAACCATACCTAGGCATTCCATGCATATAATAAGCATACCATTTAAGAATAATAAATATATATAAATATACATATCTATATACAAGTACTTATATATATACGTCCTTCCTTACTAACCAAATATATATATATAGACAGTTATATACACTTCCTTCCACCCCCAACTACTAATTAAAATTATATATGCACATGAAATACCCAAGCGATACTCTATGGCTCCCAAAACACTACGAACGCATCCGCTGATGGTTGTTTTCAACCCTAACCGTTTAAAACCAATTCTGGGAATTCACTAGAATCCCCGGGAACTTTCCAGGACCCCAAACACTGTCCCACGCGCCCCCACGCGCCACCACACAGTCCTAGACTTGCTGCACGCGCCTCCACGCGCCACCAGTCACTGGCTGCTGTCCTCACACGCCTACACGCACTGCACACGCGTAGGATTTAGCCCTCCGCGCGTGCTGGCCTCTCTTCATTGGTTGGCCTTCCTTGTTATGGTGAGCTCGCCCACACTGGATCTTCATCCACCCTTTATATTGCATCTAGTGGCCAAAACATGCAAGCACACCATCTCTTCATGGACCACGCCGCATCAGATCTTTCCGCTGTTGACTGGACCTTACCGATGGTCCAGATCTGTTATACACCTAAGTTCTATACGCCGTATCACACCACAAAAGCTTCTTATCATCAGGACCATTTAACGGTCCTGATTTAAGCGCACCAAAGCGCTGTACACCTTGCCGTACTGAATTCCAGCCCCTTTATTTGGGTGCGCCGATCTCAAGTCTCCAGTATAATATATATATATATATATATATATATATATATATATATATATATATATATTCAATTAGGCTCAAAATAATTAAATTAAGCTTGTGGGATTTTTCTAGAATTTTCTGGGATTTTATGGGAATTTTCTGGAATTATTTTATGAGTTTAGAAGTTATTTTATATATTCTGTATATACAGAATATATAAAATAACTTCTAAACTCATAAAATAATTCCAGAAAATTCCCATAAAATCCCAGAAAATTCTAGAAAAATCCCACAAGCTTAATTTAATTATTTTGAGCCTAATTGAACATATATAGTTAAATTAAGATCTATTTAATTCAATTCATCACGGTACACCAGGTTAAAGCAATCTATAAAAATTTCTGCAGCTAAAGTTTAATTAATCTAATCTTACATACAAGATTTTACATTATCAGACATTACATACATACATACATTATATATATACAGAATATATAAAATAACTTCTAAACTCATAAAATAATTCCAGAAAATTCCCATAAAATCCCAGAAAATTCTAGAAAAATCCCACAAGCTTAATTTAATTATTTTGAGCCTAATTGAACATATATAATTAAATTAAGATCTATTTAATTCAATTCATCACGGTACACCAGGTTAAAGCAATCTATAAAAATTTCTGCAGCTAAAGTTTAATTAATCTAATCTTACATACAAGATTTTACATTATCAGACATTACATACATACATACATTCACATGTTTAAACTTATAATTTTGTAAAGATTAAACATACTACTAATAAATTAATTTAATTGAAAATAAATAAATAAATACATAAACTATAATTTCGATAATCAGGTGATAGGTTTATGAGCCCTAAGAGGAGAAGAACTTGCCTTTCTTTTCCAAATCCGGTCTCCTCTTTCTTTGATCCGGTTTCTTCTTCGTTAGCCCTTCTTCTTCTCTCTCTAACTCTCTTATTTTCTAACGTAGAAAAAAACTCCTAACCCTAAAGTCTTATGTGTCTATTTAAACACATAAAAAAAAAAACCTAAATCCTTTTCCCATTATGATTACCATAAAAATAAATAATATTTATCTTTTAACTAATATATGTACATACATATATTTTAATATAAATATATATATTACCTTCCCCATATAACCATTAGTTAAATAAATTATATATACCTATATATATCAATATATATTTATGTTGACATATATACCCCTCCACATGATTAAATATACCTATATATATTAATATATATTTTTATACACATGTAATTATATAGGTATAATTATGCAAAGATAATTATTAAATATCCTCATAACCATGGGCCTTTAACAATTAACCCAACAAGGCTTCCTTCAAGCCCAATACCACATCCTTTGGCCCAACCTCCCTTAAACCCAATCCAAATATTTTAAATACATAAACTAACTAAATAAATAATACACGCAAGCGTAATTACACCTAAACCCAATAAACAATTCACTCATTAGCATTTCGCAAATCAAACACTACAATTTTAACAAATAAAATTATAAAACATAATTTAATTAAAACAAGGCAATGTATCTACACCCTTAATTAAATAAAACAAATCACAATTTATCTACGCACTTAATTAAACAAAACGAATCATAAATAAAAATAAATCAAAATAATAATAATAATAATAATAATAATAATATAAAATAATAATAATTAATTTTAATTAATTAATCCTTTAAAAATATTGGGGTATTACACAAGGTACACTAGGTTTCCTGGTCATCTCCTTCTCCTCCTCTGTATTTCTTCTCACACAAACACAAACCAGGTCACGTCACCGCCGGGATGGTCGAGTGATGAACAAAACCAAGTCAGATAACTTCTTGTTTTTAGTACTAGGTAGGACAGGTGTTCCTTACTAAAATGATGTGTGGGTAGATAAGGTGATGTGTTGGACACATAAGTAGCAGCAGTGGATAAAACATTAAAACGAGCAGTTCCATTAAAGGGTAATTCTGTAATCTTTATTTTCAAGTGACTGAGAATAACCAATTGTCCTTAAATGCAACTTTTTAATAGTTTAGGGGGGCATTTGTTAATTCATGGGGGTTTTGTGCAATTGCTTTATAGTTTAGGGAGGTTTATTGCACTTTACCCGATAAATAAGGAAAAGTTATTTTTGGCGGGTCCCATCGGTCATAGGTTTTGATTTTTACCACATGTTTATATATATATATATATATATATATATATATAATGCATGATGGTGAAGGAAATGAGCAGGTTTAGCCGAAAGTGGAAAAGGAAATGGAAATTGTGATGATGGTGGTGTGTACTTGCGGGGCTCACGAAGAGACTTTTTTTTTTTTGCCAAAAGTCTTTGAGTTCACGTGGGTTTGGTCTGACGTATACGAAATTGATTTTGTATAAAATAGGGCATTTTTTTTTTTCGATCCTTGGTGTATTTGGATATATTTGGATTTGAAAGAATTGAGAATTTTATTAGAATTTTCGAGGCATGACAAAATAGTATCAGAGCTATATCCAGCCGGAAGTGTGAGTATAGTGATGATGTAGACGGGTGTGAGTGGGCGAGTGTGTAGTTCTGGCTAGCTACCACTTTGTAGCCGGGTTAGTGTGGGCGGATAGCGTTCACTGGCAACTACTGGGATGGTTGATTAATGTGATTGGACAGGTAGCCCGTGTTTGTTATTATTTTTTTGAGTGGGCGGGTGACACATCGACTAACTACCACAACGGTTACGGAGTGTGTGAGCGGGTGACTAACACTAGTAGCTACCACAATATCCTACATATCACGGTATCTTACATCGCCTGGGATAGGGATTTATTGATTTTGTTTTGTGGTTATTGGTGTTTTAGGGTATACGAAGACTGTTGGATCTGAATTTCGGGAATGAAATTCTTTTTAAGTAGATTGTGATAACCTGATTTTTTTAAAATTTTAATTTATTATTATGATTATTATCTTAGTTTGTGTTAGGGGAGGTATAGTTGTTGCCATATATATATATATATCATTTGATAGAATGAAAAGGTGGCAGCAAAGCACAGTGAGCCGAAGTGATAAGAAATGAAAGAAATAAGGAAAAGTTGTTTTTGGCGGGAACCATCTATCATGGGTTTTGATTTTTGTCACATGTTTATATATATATATATATATATATATATATATATATATATATTTATTTATTTATTTAATGCATGATGGTGAAGGAAGGGAGTAGGTTCAACCGAAAGTGGGAAAGGAAATGGAAATTGTGATGATGGTGGTGTGTACTTGCGGGGCCCATAAAGAGACTTTTTTTTTTTGCCAACAGTCTTTGAGTTCACGTGGCTTTGGTCTGATGTATACGAAATTGATTTTGTATAAAAGAGGGTATTTTTTTTTTTTTTTTCGATCCTGGGTGTATTTTGATGTATTTAGATTTGAATGAATTGAGGATTTTATTAGAATTTTCGGGACGTAACAGATAGTGTATCTAAACCTAAGCCTTAATAGAATTTTCATCTTTTATTTGTATATTAGATTTCCAATTTAACTTAAAAAGTAATTCTTTGTTGCAGAGAAGAAGATGACTCCAGCCTTAATGGAATTTTCATCTTCTCAATCCTTTGTTTTCCCTTCAATTTTGCAAAGTGGAAAAGAGAACGTGAGTTAGAGAGAGAAATAATGAAAACGAAATTACCACTGTCGAAAAATCAAAGAGGGATCGTCAAAACCTCTTCAGCTTCTTTCTATTTTTATTTTTTTATTTATTTTTAGTATCTTTAACGTGCAAAGAAATATTAATAATTCAGGAAATTATGTGGCAATTACACCTAAAATTCAGATCAGGAGTAAGCCAATTTTATGGGACAAGTATCATTACTTTTAATAAAATTATATCACTTCAAGTTCAAATCCACTTGAATATATCAACTACTCATTTATTATATGTTTGAAATTAAAAAAAAATTTAATTTCAATATTAAATTAATTTTTTTCAAATTCAATAAGATTATATCACTTCAAATCTACGTGAATGTGCTGCGCTATGTTTAAAATAAAAAGGAATTTAATTATAATGTTAAATTAAAATTTCTCAAATTAAAATTTTAAAAACACTCATTCAATGGAGAGCGAAAAATAAAAAATACCTATCCATCAATAACGTTTGCTTAGTCATGTGACGCTCATGTGACAATGATATAAATGAAAATGACAGAACGCCCTTCTGCAAAGACACAAATGCCCTCCTTTGTCCATTCGTTCTATCCGTGTCTGTTTTCTCTGTCCTCTCTCTCTCTCTCTCTCGAATCTAACATCTATTTTCTCTATGATCTCTCCTTTGCCTCTTCACTCATTTCGTTGCTGTTATGTATCAATATTTATTCTCCGTTGCTGCATTTCGGGTTGAAGGAGATGGAGTGGAAAGAGCTAGGGCTTGGTTACATATACTGCTGACTGGTTATTATTGCATCAGTGTTTTTTCTCTCCCTCTGTGCTTTGCGGTTTCTGTATTTTCCAACGTTTAAGGCATTGTTGTCTAATCTATGTCAGTCAATTTGGTACATGTGAGGAGCCCATTTGCAAACCCTAGGTGGAGTTTCACCTTGTTCTCCAATTTCTATTAGTCATTTCTCTAATTGTGGTTTCAGTCTTGTTAATTAAACTATTTTAATGAAATTCATGTCGAATTTGAATCACATTTTTTATTATGTGCATAATATGTTTGATGAAATAATCCAATGACCAAAATGTTGTGTAAGGCTTTTTTAGATACCACCAATTGGAGTTTGATAATTACAGGAGTTGCAAATCTTTGTTACATTCTTTCCACGTCATTGATATTTAATTGGTTGTTGCTTGGTTCTGAATTTTTTTCATAATTACATGAGTTTTAAACTTTTATTACAGATCACTGGAGTTTGCACGCTAGAAGAGAAGTTGAGTGTGTGTTGGATTGTGTCTGAACTCTGAACTTTGTGTGAGGGGAGTTTAGTTGTAAGAAGCCAAAACGTTTAGCGGTAAGTCCTCTTTTGTCATTTAAAAATTTCCTCTTTTCGATATTTTTTGGACGAATTGCCAAAAAACCCCTTTAGTCTTTACTATATCCCAATTGCGAAAAACCCAAGCAAACCTTCTCAGTCCTTTAAACACGAGAAACCCAATTATTAAAAATTTATTTTTCAACACTGTTTGGACAACATGATATAATACATGTAAATAATAGTTGAGGCCCCCAAGAATACTCAGCTATATTCACTTAATCTACAACTTATTTTTATTTATTTACTTTTATTATTGGTTTTTTTTTTTTTGGTCATGATTTCATCCATGTAATTGAACAAATCATTTGCATGTAAAAAGTGTTAGGTTTCCTTTGATTTCTTACCATCTTAAAATAAATAAATAAATAAATAAATCTTAATAATAAGAATGAGTAAACATTCCACAAATTACCCCATATACTTCATCCTGATGGTATGTAATTTTCAGTAGTAGGTGGTAGAATCAAAACAATATATGATAGGATGATAAGTGCATTTATCTCAAATTAAATGACTTAAATGTCCTTTATAATTAGATTCTTGTGAATTGAATAGAGGGGAACGATGTCCTTTCACATTAAAATCGTCTCAAAAAGTTAATTTAGGGTATTTCGTGGTCTCGAAGTAATTAAAAAATTCAGATTTGAAAAAGAAAGTAAGTTGCTTTTTAATTTCCAATTTTAGTCCACTTACCTTGCAGTAGCATAATTCAATTAAGGAAAAGAAAGAAATTGGACTAAGGATACATGGCAAATTATTAATTATTTTTGTTATAATGGCTGCCATTTTTTTCTTTTTTGGGAATTTTTCTTTGTTGCTCCACATACCTTGCTTGACGGAGAGAGAGAAAAGAGAGAAAAATAAATAAATAAATTGTCTGAAGAATAATATTAAGGGTAATTTCGTCCGAATTTTTTTCCCAAACTATCATTTAAACGGATATAAGTTACAAACACCCCTTTGGGAAAGTTGAGTAGAGTTTTTTGCCAAAAATATTCATAAGGGGGATTTTTTGTAATTCGCCCTTTTTTTTTTTTTCTTCTTTTTCTGAAGAGTAAAATAATAAATTCATGCCATAGCACTGCTACCAATTGCAACTATTAAATGCGGAGTATAGTTTGGGGGTTATTTAAAGCTCTAGGAGGGTTAACTGCAACTAGATCTTTTTTTCTTGTTTTTTACATGTATCGGCTCCACAACATACTCATCATTCAAGTTAGAAGTGCGGTTCGAAAATGAGATCTCAAGGACTTACTTCCCAGATCCCTACCAACACCAATATGCCCTGAGTGCTCAACTAGATCTTAGTTGAAGGGGTTGTTTTCAATTAGTCCATATTTTTCTTCCCTTAGTTATAACAGTTAAGAGGATTTTTTAATTTATTTTTGCAATTAGTCCTTGTAGCAGTTGGAGAGGAAAATTATTGGAGATGATCCATTTCCTTTCGAATTCTATTTTAAACCTACGTTAGCAGGAAGTCTGGATGTTGTCAACCCTACAAAGTTGAGCCTTTCTCCTCTCTAATTTTTCTCTCATTCTTCTATCTTTCATGCCATTCTTCTCTTTGTCGTCTTAGGAATCTTTTGCAAAATCTGATGGCCACATTTCTATTCATAATATTTCCCAGCCACGAAATCTTTGCTAACTCATAATATTCGACTCTACCAGCGTTAGAGATCAGTTATAGCAAATTAAATCTCTGTATTAAGTCAACAAACACATTTACACTAAATAGAAGTTTAACCATTCATACTAGTTTTGACCAAATCCCCTTAATTAATACAAACGATCTAGTAGACTTAATACAATATCTTTTAGAACATTATAATCAATTAAACCATGCATGCAGATAAATTAGAGAAAACCCTTTTCTTTGCAACATTGAATGGCTTCATCATACATTTCATCAAGCCCATATTTATATTTGAAGCCAGAATCCATGAGCTTCTTTGATGAGAGGCCAGGGTGTTTAAAAAACCCTTCAAATTCCTTTAAGCAACTGCAGAAATAAATATATATAGGTGATCATTCTCTCTCTATATATATGCATGTGTATATGCATATATTGAAGAAAAGAGGAAGAGGAAAAGAGTGGAGATAAACAATTAGAACTCACTCAGCATTTGGTATTTGATATTCTGGGTATCTGGATGACAAATATTCAGACATTTGATAAATTGTTAACTCTACTGCTGAACAAAGGTACCTTCCTTTTGCATCAGGATATTCAAGAAGGAAGATGTGTGCACTTGCCACATCATCTACGTGCACAAAAGGTGCACGAGCAAGAAGTTTATAGCAATCCTTGTCACCTACATTTATAGATCAGAAACATTAATAAATTGCACAAGAAAAAAATTGGATGCGTGACTTTAAGTTTGATTGACTATGATCACAATAAGATGTCTGCGTAAACTTGTTTTGATACTTTGAATCAACTAAGTGGATACTCCTAAAATAGTTCAAACAAAAACACCAACAATAGGTTGGTTTTTTTACTATATATATGGACATATTCATGTATCCAACTCATGAATTCAAATCACACATCTGAATCCTTCTGAGTGATGGTAGAAGAAGCAAAAGCTGAATTAATTGTAAAGAAGAGTTTCCAACTTTTGAGATAGATAGAAATCGCCATTTCTTGTCATATCCAATTTGATATAAATTATCACATAAGAACAATAATATCATACTCACACTTAAAATGTGTTCAAGTATCAATACTCAACTTTTGAACACTTTTCCTTTTATCTTAAGATTTCGGATTTAGAACATTGCAACACCTAGACAAACAGACCCGATATGCAAATCTATTTAACATACTTTATTGAGAAGCAACAGAGTCACATACCGAAAATCATAGACAATGATGTGTAGACTGAGCCAGGGCAACGGGGACAAATGAAAGGGCCAACGATAATAGAAGGAATTACTGTCACAAGATCCAATCCATGTTCTTCTGCAAACTTTAGAGCTGCCCTCTCTGTTAATGTCTTGGAAATCATGTATGAAGCTCCAAAAGTCTTAAGTTCTCTGATAAAATCTGTGTCACTCCATGTACTCTCATCCATTTCTTCTAAACCCTTGTCATTGAACACAACAGTTGATGCACTAGAAGTGTACACAACCCTTTTCACTGTCTTGGAGTCAAGGCAAGCTTTTAAAATTCCTAGAGTCCCATTGATTGCTCTTCTGGTCTTGACTTGTTCAGGTTCTTTGTCTTCGAAATCAATGGGATGAGCCACATGAAACACTCCAATGCATCCTTCAATGGCTGCATCAAAACTGCTGGGCTGCTCAAGATCAGCATTGAAAATTTGGAGCTTTTCGGATGCCCCTTGTAGGTTTGTGAGGAAGCTGACATCTTTCTTCTTGTCTAGTGATCATAGGCCATAAATGTTACAAATTTGTGACTTTACACTTTACAAATGTTTACTGTGGATACAAATATGTAACTACAGCGCAAAGTTGGATTTATCTTTGTTTTTGTGGTAGAGAAAAGTGGAATTTAATTTACTTGACTTAAAATTCTAAGGTTTGGTCATTTCTTTGAGAGGGGACTAAATTCATCAACAACCCATATTGCACTTTCTACTCTTCTTTACCAATTAATCCATATCTTTCTCTCGCTATATATGCACACTACACACACTAATGTGTGTGGGAGAAAGAGAATTCACCCAAAGTCAAAATCAACAAATACTTCAACTTAAGAAAAATTCTGTGGATCCAATGTGTAAGAATTAAAGATCAACTAATATGTTCTATTTTAAAATAAGGAACCCATCATTACTTTATGCCACTTCACAGAAAACCATTCTTAACAACATCAACTCTTTAACACTAAACAAAACAACAGCATTTTTTATTGATTATTTTATGTTTAAAAGATCACAAAGACAAATAAAAAATTATATAAATATTTTTCTTTAACCTGTTGCCTTGGTCCCAACTCCCAAATCAAATTAGATAAAGATTAGCATCAAATTTTTATTGTTATTCATGAGAAGCAATTTAATATATATATATATATATATACCTACCTGAGTCAGATCTAATGGTGGTCCGAACAGAGTAACCATGTTGAAGGAGCTTCTTGATCAGCCATGAAGCCAAGTATCCTGTTCCACCTGTTACACACACAATTCCCTTATCATCATCTCCGGCCATCTCTCTCTCTCTCTGTCTCAGCTTACAAAATGGTGATTGTATTGCAAAACAAGTTCCTTTAGTTGACTTGTTGAGTGCCTTTATCCCCTTAAGTCACTCTGTTTCTCTCTTTGGTGGACAAGTGTTTGGAAAGATGGAACTTGTCACTTTCAATTTTGGGGGTGTACGCTTTATCTAACATATCACCTTCCATTAACCTGAAGCTAATTTTGGAGTAATCAGAAAGCAATATCACACGTGAACTTGTAATACACACACACACACTACTTTTAAAAATGAATAGAATATTTATTTTTTAGAATTTTTTTAATCAAGTAAAATATTATTTTTTTAATATAAGAAGTTGAATAACCTAACAGTTACAATAGTTACACTCTTGTAAGTATAACTCTTGAGATTGCCTGATGGTTAGGCTGTTATGGTTGGTATACCAAGTTTGAGGTTCCTTTGATTTTTGTAGGGATGTTGGCTAGAAACTACTAGAAACATTAAATCAATTTTTTTTTTTTTTCTTTTTTTTTTTCCCCCCCTTGAGATCTATTGAGATGTAAAATCTTGACCTGAATGATTTATGTTTGAAGTTTAAGGTGATTCTATGCTTGATTTTATTGAGTAGTGATCTATTATTTATTTATTTATTTATTTCTATTATTTTGTTATCATCCATGTTAGTTACATATTCTTCAATAATAGTTGAAGAACTCATGTGGGATACACTATACTCGGACATAGTATGATATATGTGTCCAACACTTTTTGATTGTACACACACCTAAAAATCATGTTCAATAATTCAATTTTATTATATAATTATTTCTAAACGATTTTATTATAATGATTCACAGCATCAGATTTCTATCCATTCTTCTCTCTCCGACTCTCTGTGTTTCGTCCTCTTATGTGCATTTTTTGCAAAATCTGATAGGCACATTTCTATTCATAATACTTCCCTGCCACAAAATCCTGCTAAGTTCCCAAGAAATCTTGGTAAGTCATAATATATAAGTATACAGCATTAGAAATCAGTTAACAAAAAGCAAATTAAATCTCTGTATCGAGTCAACAAACACATTTTAACACACTCAATTGAAGTTTAACCATTCATACAACTTGTTTTGTCCAAATTGGCATTCTTAATTAATACAAACGGTCTAGTAGACTTTTTCAAATAGAAAACAGCTGAGGACACAACAGAGAGACAATTAAACAGAAAACAGTACTTGGCTTACAACATTATAATCGATTAAACCATGCATGCAGATAAATTAGAGAAAACCCTTTTGTTTGCAGCATTGAATCGCTTCATCATACATTTCGTCAAGGCCATATTTATATTTGAAGCCAGCATCCAAGAGCTTCTTTGATGAGAGCCCAGAGTGTTTAGGAAACCCTTCAAATTCCTTTAAGCTACTGCAGAAATTAATGTGTGTATATATATATGTGTGTGTGTGTGTGAGATCATTCTCTCTCTATCTATGTGAGTTAGTATATGCATATATAGAAGAATAAAGAAAAAAGGATAAGAGTGGAGATAGAATTAGAACTCACTCAGCCTTTGGTATTTGATATTCTGGGTATTTGGCTGACAAATATTCAGACATGTCATAAATTGTTAATTCTGCTGCTGAGCATATGTACCTTCCTTTTGCTTCAGGATTTTGAAGAAGGAAGATGTGTGCACATGCCACATCATCAACGTGCACCAATGGTGTACTAGCAAGAAGTTCATATAGATCCTTGTAACCTACATATATAGATCAGAAACATTAATTGCACAACAAAAATTCAAGTTTGATTGACTGTCACAAAAGGATGTATGGGCAAACTCGTTAAGATTTCGGATTTAAAACATTTCAACACCTAGACACAGTGACACACACTCACAACCGATACACAAATCTATTTAACGTACTTTATTGAGAAGCAACAGAATCACATAGACACGTACCAAAAATCATAGCCAATGACATGGAGATTGAATTGGGGCAACAAGGACAAATGAAGGGGCCAACAATAAAAGAAGGAATTACTGTCACAAGATCCAATCCATGTTCTTCTGTAAACTTTAGAGCTGCCTGTTCTGTTAATGTCTTGGAAATCATGTATGAAGCTGCATAAGGCTTAAGTTCTCTGATAAAGTCCGTGTCACTCCATGTACCCTCATTCATTTCTTTTAAACCTTTGTCATTGAACACCACAGTTGATGTACTGGAAGTGTACACCAGTAACACCACTCTTTTCACTGTCTTGGAATCAAGGCAAGCCTTTAAAGTGCCTAGAGTCCCATTGATTGATCTTCTGGTCGTCTCTTGTTGAGGTTGTTTGCCTTCGAAATCAATGGGATGAGCCACATGAAACACTCCGATGCATCCTTCAATGGCTGCATGAAAGCTATCTGGCTGTTCAAGGTCAGCATGGAAGATTTGGAGCTTTTCCGATGCGCCTGGTAGGCTGGTAAGGAAGCTGACATCTCTCTTGTTATCTAGTTGATATGCCATAAAATGTTACATTTTTTTCGCTTTGCACTTGACAGATGATTAGTGTGAATAAAAGTATGTAACTACAACACAAAGTTGGATTTGACATTGTTTTTGTGGGAGAAAAAAGTGGAACTGAAGACTAGAAAATTCTAGGCTTGTTTGGTTTAGTTATTTGAAAATTCTAAGGTTTGTCCATTTCTTTGAGAGGGAATGACAATGGTTTTGAACATTAATTTAGGGATATAATTTTGTGTGTTTTGTATAAAGTTTTTGCAGGAAAAGAAAGGAAATGGAAAATTTTGGAGGGATACATTTAAGCTTAATGAGTTGCTTATGTTATTCTTCCAAAACTGTAAGGAAATGCTAGCATTTTTTATTAAACTTTGTTGATGACAAATTTGCCCTTATTTTTTTTAAAAAAAAATTATGAAAATAAGTTATGGTGGTAAATTCATTAAAATAGTTTCATTTCATTTCTTTCTCCAAACATGATTATTATCCTTCCTTTTTTTTTATTAGAATAAGTGGTTCACACTATCTCTCTTCACATAGCCTAATGTATGCATATTTCTGTGTGTATAAGAGAAAGAGATGCCAGTCAAAAATAACAAATACTTCAACTTCAGAAAATTCGGTGAATCCAATATGTAAGAATAACTTATATGTTCTATCTTAATGTAAGGAACCCATCTTTTCTTTATCGCACTTCACAGAAAACCATTCTTAACAACATCAACTCGGAACCCATCTTTTCTTTATCCCACTTCACAGAAAACCATTTTTAACAACATCAACTCTTTACCGTTTACATTAACTACATAATTCTTATTTGCCGGGGAAAAAAAAGAAAAAAAAATAGAAGAAGAAGATAAACCTCATATTTCTTTATTGAAATTATTTGCTTAAATTTTTTGACCACAAATATGAATAAAAACTGATTTACAAGTTTGTCTGTAACATCAATTGGTATTCATGAGAAGCAATGCATACCTGGGTGAGATCTGATGGTGGTCTGAACAGAGTAACCATGTTGAAGAAGCTTCATGATTAGCCATGAAGCCAAGTAGCCTGTTCCACCTGTCACACACACAATTCCCTAGTCATAATTTCCTGCCATCTCTTTCTCCCTAAAGATTTAATTATGCTAATAAAATGCAGATTGTATAGTACAATAAGTTCCTTTAATGATTTATACACTACCTTCATCCCGCCAAGTCAACCGTTTAATTATGCTAACAACGTGTTTGGAAAGACACTCCTTGTCACCCTTTTAATATTGGTGGTGGTATGTGAATCTATACATAATAGATCCACTTAACACACTCAATAGAAGTTTAACCATTCATACAACATGTTTTGTCCAAATTGGCATTCTTAATTAATACAAACTGTCTAGTAGACTTTTTCGAATAGAAAACATCTGAGGACACAACAGAGAGACAATTAAACAGAAAACATTACTTGGTTTACAACATTATAATCAATTAAACCATACATGCAGATAAATTAGAGAAAACCCTTTTCTTTGCAGCATTGAATGGCTTCATCAAACATTTCATCAAGTCCATATTTATATTTGAAGCCAGCATCCAAGAGCTTCTTTGATGAGAGCCCAGAGTGTTTATGAAACCCTTCAAATTCCTTTAAGCAACTGCAGAAACAAAAATCGGCGATCACTCTCTCTCTGTGTGTATATGTGTGTATGTATATGCACATATAGAATAAAGAAGAAAAACAAAAAGAACAGAGATAAAGAATTAGAACTCACTCAGCCTTTGGTATTTGATATTCTGGGTATCTGGTTGAAAAATATTCAGACATTTGATAAATTGTTAATTCTGCTGCTGAACAAATGTACCTTCCTTTTGCATCAGGATTTTGAAGAAGGAAGATGTGTGCACTTGCCACATCATCTACATGCACAAAAGGTGTACTAGCAAGAAGTTTATATCGATCCTTGTCACCTACATGTATAGTATATATCAGAAACATGAATTGTGTAAGAAAAAAATTTGATTCGTGACTCTTAAGTGTGATTGACTATCACATCAATGCTCAACTTTTGAACACTTTTTCTTTATCTTACAATTTTGGATTTAGAACATTTCAACACCTAGACACACACACACAACTGATATACAAATCACTGAGAAGCAAAGAGTCACATACTGAAAATCATAGCCAGTGATGCGTAGATTGAGTCTGGGCAATGGGGATTAATGAAGGGGCCAACAATAAAAGAAGGGAGTACTGTCACAAGATCCAATCCATGTTCTTCTGCAAACTCTAGAGCTGCCTTTTCTGTTAATGTCTTGGAAATCATGTATGGAGCTCCAGAAGGATTAAGTTCTCTCATAAAATCTACGTCAGTCCATGTACTCTCATCCATTTCTTCTAAACCCTTGCCATTGAACACAACAGTTGATGTACTGGAAGTGTACACCACTCTTTTCACTGTCTTGGAATCGAGGCAAGCCTTTAGAATGCTTAGAGTCCCATTGATTGCTCTTCTGGTCGTCACTTGTTCAGGTTCTTTGCCTTCGAAGTCAATGGGATGAGCCACAAGAAACACTCCAATGCATCCTTCAATGGCTGCATCAAAACTGCCGGGCTGATCAAGATCAGCATTGAAAATCTGGAGCTTTTCGGATGCCTCTGGTAGGTTTGTGAGGAAGCTGACATCTTTCTTCTTGTCTAGTGATTGATCATATGCCATAAAATGTAACAATTTTGTGACTTTGCACTTGACAGATGATTAGTGTGAATGAAAGTATATGACTACTACATAAAGTTGGATTTAACTTTGTTTTTGTGGGAGAGAAGTGGAATTGAGGACTAGAAATATTCTAGGCTTGTTTGGTTTAGTTTTTTTGAAAATTCTAAGGTATGGTCATTTATTTGAGGAGAGGGGACTACAATGGTTTCGGACATTAACAACTGATACATAACTCTGACTCTGTCACCAATGAAACAAGATTGAAAATTCAAGAACACCCCACCCCACCTTGCACTTTCAACTCAACACACACACACACACACACACTAATATATGCATATTTCTGCGTGCGTGTGACAAATAGAATTGAGTCAAAATAAAAATAATAATAATAAACACTTCAACTTAGAAAAACGAGGTGAACCCAATATTCTCAACTAATATGTTGTATCTTAATATAAGAATTCCATCTTTTCATTATCCCATTTCACATAAAACTATTCATAACAACATCAACTCTTTACCACTAAACTAAAATACAGTTTTTTTTTTGTAATATTGATATTATTATATGCTTATAAGATCACAAATACGAATAAAAACTGATATAAATGTTTGTCTTTGACCTGTTGCCTTGGTCCGAGAGTCCCAAGTTGAATTAGGGAACGATTACCATCAATTGCTTATTCATGAGTGAGAAGCAATTAATTAAATACCTGGGTGAGATCTAATGGTGGTCCGAACAGAGTAACCATGTTGAAGAAGCTTCTTGATCAGCCATGACGCTAAGTACCCTGTTCCACCTGTAACACACACAATTCCCTTATCATCATTTCCTGCCATCTCTCTTCCCCCTCTCTCTCTCTCTGTATGTGTGTTTGTATATATATATATATATATATATATATATATCTCTTATCTAAGTTTTATGCTAACAAAACAAAACGGAATTTGGATTGCACAAAAAGTAACTTTAGTATCTTTAATGATTCAAACAGTAATTTAATTTAGGATAAATTATATTGAATTTCCTTAAGATTTGGACAAATTACACACGAATAGTACGGTTTGACATTCATTATTTTGACCTCCCCTAAGATTTGGTGCATATGCTCAACAACACCGTGTAGTTAATGAAAATTCGAAAAATGATTAAGTTGTCATTTTTTTGCATTAAAAGATCTAAATAACTTTATATTTTCATATAAAATGACAAAAATATCATAAAATGCCATTGAAATGCAAAATATTAATTTTTATATTATTAAATTTTACAAAAACATTTTTTTTGTTAATGACAGTTGATTAGGTTTCTTTTTATATAGGGTTAGATTAGGTTTCTTCTTTCAAAAAAAATAATAATAAGGTCGGGAAAAAAAATAAAAAGGTAATAAAGGTTTTTGGATTGAATTTTTTTTTAAATATTAAATTATTATTAAACAGGATAAGAATATAAAAGGCATTTCACACTTTTAAGAAAGGTCAAAGTAATAATGACCGAATACTCTATCCACGGCTTAATTTATTCAAACTTTTAGGAGATAAGTATAATTTTTCCTTTAATTTAATAAGTCAAGTCTGGCAACTCTTTTTGTCTTTAGAGGACAAGTGTTTGGAAAGATATTGGTTGTTAGTCTTTTTATTTGGGGTGGGGGGTAATAAGATGAGCTAGCTACTGTGTTGCATTGTCTTCGAGTTCACATCAGCGAGAAATCTTCATGAGCGGATAGATAGAAATCATCACTATAATCGTACTACCTTCCTCAATACGTTTTAAAGCCATCACAATTTTACAATCTCCCCCTATCGAACCATTTTGATACCTCCGTAGATAACCCCATCGAGACCTTCTCAAAGAGAGAGCTTCAGCCACCTGTCTATACAAAAAGACTATAATGCCCTTTTGTTCATAGAATGAAATATGATATTTACAAATTCAGGCAATGTAATATTAGGGTGTATACTTTGGTTGCTACAGAACAGCGGGGCTGGAAGTTGTGGATCGGGCCTAGCTTGGCATAGCGGGCTGGACCGACAGCCCCAAACCCAGGCCTTAGCTCGCCCATCTAGCTAGCCGCCTAACAAACTCCGCATCATCATGGTCTGATGGACCGGGCCATCATGGTCGTTTGTTGACCCGAGGTAATGTGCGTACACTTTTATCCTTTTATAGAGAGACATATATTTATATCTATTTACACCCATACAGCTTTTGTATATAAAAGTTGTAAACAGTCACCTACTAGATTTTTAACATAGCATTTTCATATATGGGACCCTAGGAATTCGAAACTTGCGTTGCATGACAATGGATTTTAATTAGAACTTTACCGTCTCAATCATCTAACCCACTTCATCTCTCTCTGTCTTCATATATATATATATATATATATATATATTCTCTCTCTACAGCATCTGGTCTTCCTTTTATTCTCCCTCCAAACAGTTTCCACACTCGTATCTGGAATCCATGAATTCCATAAACCCTATAAAATGAAACAAATTCTTAGATTTGTAGACTCAAAAATTTGAATAAAAAAAAAACACCGCTTTCTATATTTGCTTTGAATATGTACAGATCTGGAGCTACAATGGCGTGGAATGTGTTCAGATTTTGTACGGCCCTGCGAGGGCTGGGCTCGATCATGATCGTATTGGTCCTCGGTATCGTCGGAGTCACCTATTACGCCTTCGTTATCACCAATTACGCTCCGGCTTTGTACCTTGGTGGTCTCGATTCCCTCATTGCACTCGTTCTTTTGATCTTGTTTCATTTCCTGGTTAGTTTATTCAATTTTCGAATAGTTTTAGGGTTTTTTTGGTTTTGATCGGTTTTGGGATTGTTATAGCTTTCTATTTTTTGCAAATTTTGACGTACAATTGTATTTATTTGTTTGAGATTGTTTTAAGGGTATGGTTGACAATTTGGAAGCTTGCTTATTAAAAGTCATGAAAATTGAAAATTTCCTGTCTTTTTCCTTAAACTCCGAAGGCGCAATTACGATTCCATTTCAGTCTTTAGCTGAAAAGAGTTAAAATGGAAAATAAGGATGTTTTGGGTTTTTCTTGTTTCTGGCAGGATTTTTTTTTTTCTTCCTAGTTTTAGTTGTTGAGTCTAGTTTCAATATTTATAGACAATTTATTAGTTACAATCAACATTCAGGGCTAATTGAAATCCATATAAATATTACTTTTTTATATTACTTGCATTCTTTTTTCAATTAATTGATATTCAGACTACTAAAAAAAAGTTATGGAATGGTGAATTTTAGTTAAAAATATCATAGAAGTGTCAGTTGATACATTATACAAAAACTGAAACTATAAGGTGAGTAACTGAATGTTTATGCAGTTGGTGATGTTACTATGGAGTTATTTTTCTGTTGTTTTTACGGATCCGGGTAGTGTACCACCAAATTGGAGGCCTGTTTTGGATGAGGAGAGAGGGGACACCGATCCATTGAATGCGTCACAATTTGATGATATGCCAGCCAACCCAGCTAACCCAAGGGTACGGTATTGTCGGAAGTGCAACCAGCTGAAACCACATCGGTGTCATCATTGTTCTGTTTGTGAGTTCATACACATTCTTTTCAAGATCTTTTTTTCCTTTCCCTTTTTTTTTTTCAGGGGAAATAAATTGCATTTATTTATCTGTTTCAGGTGGGAGGTGTGTGCTGAAAATGGACCATCATTGTGTGTGGGTTGTCAATTGTGTCGGGGCATTGAACTACAAATATTTCCTTCTTTTCCTGGTATGCTTTCCTCATTACCTAATCATGAACACTCTTAATCAGTTGAATTCGTGCCTTTGAGCATTGAATTGCTTTTCATGCATGTGAACTTTTCTTTTCATATAGATATATGAATTAATTTTTGTAAATTTGGTTACTTTCTGCTTCCTGAATATCTTATACTCAGATTCTTGGTATCTGTCATTGAGCAGTCTGTTTTGTCGACTGACGTTTCATCCATTACCAAGAGTCACTATTGTGTGGTGTTATCCTACATGAAAGTCTGTCTCACTTTCTACTTTAAGTTCTATAATTCCCTGGCTTCTATACACAAGCAAGCACAGGTGGATGTTGATTTCATTTTTGTGTATTCAGTTTATTTGTTTCTGGTGGTTGCTAGACTATGGTTGCATAATATATGATTATGTTTGCAGCGGGTCCAATTCTGTTGGTAGGACTACTGGTCATGTTTTGTCCAATTCTGTTGGTAGGACAACTGGTCATGTTTTGTGGATATCCTACTGACATATCAACTTGCATAGCTGATCACATTCTTTTGTTGATGCAGTTCTACACATTTCTAGAGACAAGTCTTGTGGCTTTATCATTATTGCCACATTTTATAACATTCTTTACTGATGGAGAGATACCTGACACACCAGGATTTCTTGCAACCACTTTTATTGCATTTGGTAAATTCTAATGACCTTATTTGTTTGACTTTGGCCCCCTTCTTGTTTGTCTCTATATCTTTATATAATTATTGTTGTTGTATCTGCAGTCTTGAATCTAGCATTTGCTTTAAGCGTTTTGGGATTTCTGATTATGCACATATCATTGGTGTGTGGCAATACCACTACCATTGAGGTAATGTCTGCTTCTTCTGTCTACATGCTAATTTGAATATAAGTTTAATGCATATTAAAAAAAAAAATGGGTTAATATTATTTTTAAGTAGTTAATAGGTGTAAGTATGGGAAATACATATTTTTGAAAATAAGTATGGGAATATATGTGTACATATATTGTTAGTTTTGGCTACGTGATATCAATAATATATAGCTTTTCCTAACATGAGGGCATGTCCTATTCCCGCACCCTATAATCTATGCATGAGTGTCTCTATGCATTTGTCCAGTATGTGCGGGTATACATTTCCGCATTAATACCAATGAGTACTTGTTCTAACTATCATCAATAATGATTAAATAAGGTCATTGGTACCCAAGACAATATAATAGCATGTGGTTGCCCACAGCGCTTATATATGCATAAGCTTGGTTCATACTTCATATGCATGCATCATTAGCACACGGACATGACCATTTGCAAAGCATGAGGGCATGGGCACATGAGAGTATTTGGCCATCTCTTGTGGGACTTGTCCGCAGCTATGTCTAAATATATTATCCTAAATTATTGAATAGCTAAGTACTTCCGCGGAGGAATGGAAAGGTGTCAGTAATGTAGGGTAATATATTTCCGGTATAGTTCGGGTTGTGAAAAGCCAAGAAATGTAAATGAAAGGTCTTTTGCGGTATCGTGGCGTGGAAAACACTTGTATTTAACTTTGCCAAAACAAATATGTAATTCGTTTTGACAATGTTATCACAAGGAGTAAACTAACATTATGGTCTCACCCGAGCAATCGGCAATCGCAACAAAACCCGCGTGCAAAGACTAAGAATAGTTCTCAATGATGATATTCAAGGATGTGAACCGCAGCACATTCTGAATAAATATCATAAGGGACTATTTTAAGGTTCAAGCGTAGTGTGGGAGGGGTGGTGTCATTGTCGCGCAATGATGGCATTCCAAGTGATTGTGGTAAGTGTCATGAGTACACTTTGTCATAGCCTGGCAAGGAAAAAGGGGTAAAATGTGGCATGGAAAGATTGAATGAGAGGCTCATCGGAGTGGGATGGAGGTGGAAACGGGTAATTCCCGTAACACAATACCCATGGGATTGGGACATCTGCGCTCTGACACAGAAAATGATATTGGTATGATACGCGAACCTCTCTCGTGACTAGCACGTGCCCCACCTCTATAAATAGAGCTGCCCTGACGCGAGTGATCATCGAGGCCCAGTCAAATCTCTTATCTTTTGGCTCTCATTCTCTTATCTGTCTCTTTTCTCTCTGTTTTTTTTTTTTTCCTGATCAGCTGTGAGAGTAAATCAATCTTTTGGCTTCGAACCAAGTCATTTTCCATTGAAATCCCTTACAATAAGCATTGATGATATTTGATTTGCTTCTGTTGTTGCTATATACGGAGACTGTTTGTGTTGCTTCTGGGATGAGCCAAGAGTTCATTTTTCCCTTTGAACCTTTTTGATGCAAGAACTCATTTTTTCTCTAGTCAAATGGGCTTTCGGTTTTGTTTTCTATTGGAAAATGCCTGGACTGCTTTTTTGATACTTTTATAGTTGCATTCCATTAAAGTAGCAGCCTCCTGATTTACCCACCCGAGAAGTACGAAAAAAAGAAGAAGATGATTGTGTATGGTACTTTCTTAAAAAATGTTTACCATTTTCCTACTTCTAATTTTATAATTCCACAAAGCTTTTCATTTCAAAATGTAAAAAATAATATTCGTACAGAGTATTTAATTTTGGAGGAATGTGTAGCATTTGTGGACTGAATTGTTAATTTATTTCTTCTTGGGTTTAGGCATATGAGAAGAAGACGTCTCCAAAATGGCGCTACGACCTTGGTCGAAAGAGGAACTTTGAACAGGTTTGGTCATTTCTATTGCCATTCCTTCTTGTGATGAATTTTGTTAAAAGAAAAAATAGAAAAATTAGTCACACGCACTATTTCAGCAATCAATAGTTACAAAGGATCTGAAGAACAGATATATTTTATGTTAATATATCCTAAGAAGCATGGACATGAATTTTGGATATGGACACAACACGACAAATCTTAGCAATGAGGACACAATGGGAGACAACAATGAAATATGTATTCTTATATACATAAAATTATATTATATAACTCCATGACTAGTAATTCTAATATTGTTTGACTAGCTAAAATTTATAAGTCATAAATTATATGATCATAATTACCTTATCATATAGATCTAGTCAAAATAAGGACATGACACACACATATGATCATAATTACTCTTACCACGTGTGTGTGTGTGTGATCTATGTATGTGTATGGATCTAGAAATGTATACAACAACAACAACAACAAACCTTTTCCCAATTACTTGGGTCAGCTACGTGAATCCCATGTTTCAATTCCGCTGGATCTAGAAGTGCATGTACACACACAAATTACACAATTTGATGTCCTTTGGAACCTCCTTGCTCGTGCCTACTTCTCTAGTAAAAGCTTCTTATATATATAGTTTTCTTATGTGATCAAACTTCTTATGTATTTCATATAAACTCTTTTTAGAACTATTAATCCTTTTCTTCCATGCTAAGAGAAATTTGGTCTTAAAATTGGTCCAATGTTGAAGAGTGTCTAAGAAGTGTTGCTCCATGTGTCTGCAATTAAGAAATTTATCTTTAAATTATAGATACATCCATATTGTGTGGACATGTGTTTAGAAGCATCCATGAAGTATCCATGTCACTCTTTTTAAAAAGGATATATGCTTCTTAATACATATCTCTTCGATTTGTATCAGAGACATCCTGAGGGGATGAGGTTTCAGACAATATTGTGACCTGATAAAAGACTCTTTGCTTTCGTGATTATAAAATTTACCCATTCAATGTGTATATTACCTAGTAGCAAAAGACTATTAAATTCCAAAAACATGTAAACAGATCGGATTCGGACCATACCAGGCTTGATCCAAATCCGATAAGGTCATATTATGGTCTGATCCGATAACCCGACCAGTTATTTAAGAATGAATCCATGTATGATTTGTGACTAATCGGATAACTATTCCGATAACCTAATTTGTTTATGGTGCAATTTCTTTGTTAAAAAATTTAAATTTGAAAAAAGATCGCCAAACAATGATTAAAAAAAGAGAGAATGATTGGAGAACATAAATAAAAAATGAAAGAAAGGAGAAGAAAATTTGGTATTTTGCACTTTGTTAAAGGAAAAAATAGAGTAAGAAAGAATAGAGACGGTAGGAGAAGAAAAAAAAATGCTAATAACATTTTCATAATATGTAAATTGTATATATTATAGTATTAGATAATATATTACATTATTGGATTGGATTATTATCGGATCCAATAAATTATAATCCTTATCCAGTTTGTTTAGCTAACAGATTATCGGATTCGGATCGTTAACAAAATGTTCAATCTATATCCAAGTTATCGAATAGGATTCGGATTAAAATATGATCCATTGACAGGTCTACTAAGTTCTCCTTGGACTATTGATGTATCTGCAATTTTTCATATGAATGTTTATATTCTATGATTTGGTTTTGTTAAAAAAAAAAAATTATTTTGTTTGTTGGGGGTGGGGTGTTGGTTTTGTAAGTTCAGAAGTTAGTTATTGGTTGATGCTTGTAAACTCTGAACCTCCCTAAAAAATTAAAAAGAAAAAATCTGATATTTTGAATAACGAAGATTATATATTGAAGAAGGGCATAAATATTATGTCTAAAATTTCAATCATGTCGAATTTCTGATATTTTCTTGATACTCCTAACATCTGATTTTGAAGGTCCATTTTAGAAATATCCAACTTTTCTGTAAGAGTATGTGATGTATTTGCAATCAACTGTAGATTGTCAATATCTAGAGCTACTACTGATTTCAAATAATTTATGCATTCACATTCAATTAGGAAAAAGTTAATATAGGAAAATCGTAAAATTCTTTGTTTTGACTTTCAATGTGGACAACTGTCACGGACATCCGTAAAGGGAAAAGTAGAGCAACAAATTTGAAGGGAGGAATAATCATAGGAGATTACTTGTGCTATCTTGGATTAATTATTCATAAGGCAAGACGGAGGAGGATGCTAATTATAGAATTATAGCAAAATTAATAAATTGGAGAAGTGCTTTTAGAATATTGTGTGATTGTAACAGATGAGTATAATAGGAGAAAATAGAGAATTCTTAACAAGTTAGAGATTGCACTGATTGAGATAAGATGATGGGTAATGGTCTTCTGAAATGTAGATAAACTGGAAATAAATATGGAGGTGCAGTTTATTTCAAGGTCCCAAAAGGATTAAAAGGAGATTAAACTAATATGGGTTGAGGCTATACTAAAGGACATAGATGCCTTGGATTCAAAAGGATAAAATTTTACTTGTAGACTGAAGAACAAAGATTTATGTATCTGGGAATGGGATTGGAATGGGGCTACCTTGGTTGGTCAAGAGTAGATTTCCCCACAATGAGTCCCAGTCTTGAATTAGGGCACGTTGGGAGATGATGAAATTTTACTCATGGTGGGACCAGATAGCATTGGGTATAACTAAGTATATTAGTTTCAAATATTGTCATGGTGTGGCACTTTTCTGTGGTGAATGCGTGCTTACCAGAAATCTTTGCACCTTTCCAAGAGCCACTCGGCATTTTGAATGGGGGGAATGTGGATAACGTTGTCAGCAATGTGGCGTAATGTGATGGTGGGGTGGCTTTGTACATTTTCCTTAGAGAGCTCCCCTTTACTCACAGCCAATGTGGGAATTGGTTATATTTTCATTTTTAAATTTAAAAACTTATGACTAATTTGGATTAGACAAGAATGATCAATATGTCCCACATTATGATTTCATAGAAAGTTAACTCAGAAATGTTGGTGCCACAACTTGAATGAACTGCTTGATTATGACGTTGCAGGGTAGGTTCATACTATCATTCCATCCTGCTTAGAACTTATGTGCGGATTTGCACTTCGTTCCCATCAGCCCCGATCCTGACACAGAAATTTCCATATCCATCACTACACAGGCTAGATTACTTGTGTCGGGCCTTATTGTCATCCCTAGATTTGCGCACATTCAGTAGCTAATATTGATGCTTTTATGTGGAGGTGGGTTGAGAATCATGCAAACTTTGTGTTAATTGTGTGGCTCTTTGACATGGGCAGCTGTGCGTTAAATGCTATATTATGAGCTGTACATGCCATGTGGTTAACTATCAACTGTCACTTGTCTTAAAGCTGTGCTATAGTAGCTATCAAATTTAAATCAGCATTGAGTTTTTGAACAATGCTCAAAATTTTCTGAAATGATTATGTATGGCAGATCCATTACCACTGTCTATGGCAGTTTTGGCAGATAGTTGTTACTCGTCAGTATCGTGTCAGTTATGCCAAAGCAGTTTAGAAATGACCAGTCTCATCTAATCTTGTTAGTTGATATTTGAGGAAAGAATCATAGTGGTAATTATGTTATCGGGTAAAGTACAAAAAAAAATCCCTGCTATATACAAAATGTGCAAGAAACATCCTATTTTGAAAATTTATAGCAAATTGACCCCCGGTCAACTAGTTTGACCAAAAAAATTTATAAAAATCTCAAAATACCCTTAAGGGCATTTTAGGTATTTCAATCTTCAAATTTTTTTTATAAAAAATCCAAGAATTCCAAAATACCCTAATACCCCCATTTTTTTAAATAAAAATTCCAAAAATTTGAAATTAAGTTTTTTTTTTTTTTTTTTTTTTGCATTTTACCCTATGTTATTCGAGTTCAATCAAAATGCAAAAAATTCAGCCTTTTGAAGTTTTGAATCGATCCATTTATTGCATTCTTATGGTGTGTGAGTAATTCATAATTATGCTTGTTCTTGTATATGTGGAATCTCATTACTCTTAACCAAGGTTTTGGTGCATCATGTGGGATCAGGTATTTGGGATGGACAAGGGACACTGGTTTATCCCTGCCTACACGGAAGAAGATTTACGACGGATGCCAGCCCTTCAAGGTCTTGAATATCCATCAAAACCTGACTTGGATGCCCAAGAGTTTTAAGGATCATTTATCTCACATCAAAGAACTTGGGTCACTTCTAACAGCAGCTGTAGAGCCCCCTCGGCGAAAATGTTTATTTACCCTTTTAATTTATGTACAGGTTGTGATTTATCTGGGGTCGGATCCAACAATTCCCGGCAGCATATTGCAGAATAACATTGTGGAGGATAGAAAGATCAATGTATGTATAAAAAGAGCTATGAGCCCCAGAAAGATGAGGATGGCTTGAGGGGCTGATGTGTATTTCCTGTTTAAATTATGTACCTTGGAAAGTCTGAGAAATGTAAGATGAGGATTCACATACGTTTGATGCCGTAGCATGCTGATGTTTTCTCAAGTTTTATGTACTTTTTGGTAGGAATGTATAACTAATGTTGGCTCGATAACACGTCGAAATGGTAAATGTTTGTTGAAAATCAATTGTCAAATTTTTTAAAGTCACTCTTTGTCAAAATGATATTTAGTGTTACGTTTTTTTATTTTCCTTCTTTAGCGATCTAACAAAAACACAAATCAGTTAATATTATTATCCTTTGCGATTATTATTTTCTTATTTTGGTTAAGAGGAACATTCTTTGGATTATAAAACTAGAATTTGATCTACAACGGAAACTTGTAAAACTAAAAATGATCACTTCTACGTAGTCGTGAGACCCTTTTATCTCTTCTACTCAGATTCAACCTCACGTGTAATTTTAACAAAAAAAAAAAAAAAAAAATAGAAAAAAAAGAAAAAGAAAAAGAAACAAACCTCACTTTGTAATTGAATAATAAATACAGTAATTGGTAGCCATTTACCATAATCTTATTTTATCAGAAGAGGAGCATTAACTTTTTTTTTTTCTTTTTTTTCCTGACAAATTAGTGGAGGGGCAATCGAACTAGTTGTAACAGGTCATATTCTTCGTAATCCGACCAAAAAACTTAAGGTATTAAGTGAGACTAAAACCCAACTCATATATACCCATTTAATTCCTTATCCGAATTCGATATGGGACAATTATCCCATGTCACACTAATAGTAACAGGTGGAACACTTGTCCATTTACTCAAAGTTTAAACTATTTTGTAGTGCTGTATACCCATCCATTTATATTCATTCATTTTCTCATCCAGATCCAATGTACCTGAACTCGCGACACCCTTGTTACGGCTCACTTGGCGTGACACCGGATTAAGGATTGCGTCTGGCTTTGATACTAATTGTAACAGGTGGGCGTTTACCCATTTACCTAAAAACTTAAACTATTGTATAGTATTGCACACCCACCTATTTATACCCATACATTTTCCTATACGGATCTGAAGTGAGACAAACTCTCCCATGTAACACTAGTACTTGTCCTACATCAAATCCGGAAAGTGAAAGGAGTATAAATATGTAGGTGTGTAGCATCACCCAACATTTTAAGTTTTTGAATAAACGGGCAAACATTCATCCCTTACGGTTGATATTAGAGTCAGATTCAATTGTTGATCCAATGCCACGTCAAGCGTCTGACCCAGAAGGTGTCCGAGTAAGCCGCTCGAGTAGACAAGGTGGCCCTTCCACAATGAGGGTATTGCAAATTCGAATGGAAAAAAATATTACTGTAGTTGTTTTATATCAAATTCGGATATATATATATATATATATATATATATATATATTATGCAATACTACCGTACAGCTGTTTCAAAAGTCCACCAAATAATGCCCAAGAGAACAACGTAAACCCCTTGCACAATTTCCGGGTTTTTTCTAATCAATTTCTGATCTTGTTTTGTACCGTATGTTTGAGGGAAAAAAAAGTAAAATAAACGTATTGAAAGAAGTCCCAAGATGGGCCTAGAACCATCAAAGTATTTCTTTACATTTTATATATATAAATAAATAAATAAATTTATAAAAGGAACATTCTAGCAAAAAGTGACAGTAATGTCTCATTTTATACATTCCATCTCTCTCCGTATACATATATATATATATATATATATATATATATATATATATATATATAATTCACTAATTGTAAGGTACCGCTCAGTTCCGATTCTGGCACCTTCTCTGTTTTTCTCTCGCTTCTCAACCTCTATCCTCTCAGAATCGTAATCGATTTGTTCTAAGAAAGGTAAACCCTTTCTCTCTCTTCCATGAATTTTGGGTTCAAAATACTAAGTTTGTCGCCTATTTGTGTTATCCTCTACTATTATATTTGGTTCCGGTCGTATAGTTACCTTAGATCCTCTTATCCAATTATACATTTTTTACTTGCTTGCTTGGATAATTGCATTTCTTCAAAGGATTGTAATCTTCAACACTTAGATATCTCAACCTGATGATTGTTTGATTGCTATAGAATCTCTCTTATGCTTAATGGAGTATTTAGTATTTGCTAAGAGAATGTCTGAAAAGGAAAGAAAATTTAATATATATCTATATTTATATTAGATTGTTTTGATTTTTTTTTTTACGAAGGAAAAATCTTCACCAAAGTAATTGTTTTTTTAGCTGTGCAATACCAGAATAATATAGAACAGATGATCTTTTTTTTTTTTTTTTTTCTCTCTCTCTCTCTCTCTCTCTCTCTCATTTCTTTCAACTCATGTTCCTTTGTAACCAAATGGTTAGTTTAATATTTATTAAGGTTTTCATATGATGTCGGTTGATTAAGGTGATTAGGTAGGCTTGCTTCTTTCTGATTCTCTTTGTTCATCATTTTCTTTTTCTTAGCCGCGGATCTTATACAAATTAAACAGAAGATCAAATGCTATTTTTTGTCTTTTTCCTTGAATATTCATTTTTCTTGGTAACCAAATGAATGAGTGAATGGTTTAATTTTCATTAAGATTGTCATATTTTGTTGGGTTTTTAGGCTGATTTTGGCAGCTTTGCTTTTGTTTGTTGTGGCAAGTCTTATTTATTCTTTTGTTTTGTTCAGTTTACCTTTCCTAATCCATATATGTATAAACTTGAACATATGCAGACACGAATGCATTCATATTATTTAACTGTTGTTTTCAGAGGCATCCATCTCTACTCATTGCTTTCTGCACATTAGGGTTCTTACAAACTTACACATTTCTTCATACGTTTTCTTATGTTGGCTCTTTAATGTTCGAATGATTAGGTATCATGCAGAGGGATAGAGAAGGGAGTTTTGGATCCCATGGGAGCATGATGTCTAGCATTTTTGGAGGAAGAGATCCATTTGATGACCCATTCTTTGCTCGCCCATTTGGTAGCTTGTTTGATTCAAGTGGTCCATTTGGTGCCAACCCACAGATTAGTAGATCAAATGGCCCACTTATTGAGGAATTAGATGCTGATGATGATAATAAAGGAGGAGAGGAAGAAGGTGATGATATAGGGGTTGGGGATAAGAAAGATAAAGCTCGACAGAATACCAGGTCAAACAAAGATCCACTTGTTGAGCACCCGGATGACCAAGTTGATGGTAAGATGTGCTTTTTTGTAGTATGTTATATACATGAGGAGTTTCATGTAAACTTCATATGTGTACTTGCTTATAAGTCAAAAAAAATTGTTGTGGTTTTCCTGGCAGAGAGGAAGAGCGAGATTATTTCTTCTAGGTCTGGCTATAACAAGGTGGAAGGGACGCAGTCGCAGACTAGGAGTGTCAGCTTCCGGAGAGTCACATATGGTGGTATAAATGGGACTTATTACACTGCTACAAACACCAGGAGGACAGGCAGTGATGGGGTAAATAACCTTTTTTTTATATAGTTTCTTGTTCTTTGGTGTAGTGGATTTCTTGCTGGCTTCTTTTAATTTTAGCCTTGAGTTTGTTTTAAAATCAGGTGGTGTTGGAAGAGAACAAACAAGCGGATAGAACAACTGGTCAAGCAACACATAGGATCTCTAGAGGAATACACGACAAGGTAATTTGTTCAGTTTGTGTCCTTTTGCTGTACACCAGGAAAATCAAACAAATACTTGTTACTTTAAGTAATGTATTGAGTCCGAGTCCAAGCTCATGAAATTGGCTTCTATTACGAAGATCTCTTAGTAATGAATTGAAGGTAAGAGAAAGGAAGAATTAGAAAATCATAACCAAGACACTATTGTACACGTTTAAATGGAAAATGATGTGGTCTTTGAGGAATATTGGGTTACAAAATAACATAATAAAGCAACTTACGTGTAGTCCCCCCTCCCCCTCCCCCTCCCCGCCCTGGCCCCGGCCCGGGGGTTCTTTTCTATTTTCACACTGTGGTGTACTCGGGAATCTATTTGGTCACCAATTGAATGGTGGTCCTTTACGGTAAATGATGCCGCCTTTGTGTTAGATCTTTCCATGGGTTTGTAGACCAAGTCCTCTCTGTTTCTCTAGGTAAATGGTGGGCCCTTAACTAAAGCACACTAGAGCCAAATACTTATTTAGGATTGCATTAGTTATAACCTGTTTAGAGAAATTTGAGAACAATACTTAACAACTATTAAATTTTCTTCTGAAACTAACAACTATAGACACAGTTTGTACTAAATCTATGTACTAAGCAAATATGATGCCATTTGGCATCTTTGTAGAGTACAGCTTTATAGTGTATATAAGCAAATATAAGTATTAGAGAGAGGAACCGTACAAGATGTGCAATGGGACAGCTAGGTGGAACTTGAATAGCAACAAAGTTTGTTGCACTAGTTATAACCCGTTTAGAGAAATTTCAGAGCAATACTTAACAACTATTAAATTTTCTTCTGAACCTAACAACTATAGACACAGTTTGTACTAAAAGCTATGTACTAAATAAATATGGTGCCATTTGGCATCTTTATAGAGTACAGCTTTATAGTGTATATAAGCAAATATAAGTATTAGAGAGAAAGGAACTGTGCAAGATGTACAATGGGACTGCAGGTGGAACTTGAATAGCACCAAGGTTTGTCCCAAATCTAATTCTCCTCTCCCTGAGGGCCCAGGTGATTGCAACTTGCAAGGGAACTTCCAACTAGGATGGCACTTGTATCCCAATCCTTTCAAGCCAGGAACTCAGGGTTGTTGAAGCCCTTGAGGGGAAGGTGGAATTCTCTAGGAACCTTGCTGAGTAGCAGTGGATCCATAAAGGCTTACATGTTTATTATCAACCTTGCTTGCCAGGCACAGTTTTTGAGTCCAGGAATTTTTTTTTTTTCCCCAATGAATGACGATAAAATTGCGTCATGATGTCCTCTATTGCATTCCATACCCCTTAGAATGGATGGGTTATCCAATGCTTGATAGTATGTTTAACCTTTCTTCTTAGGCATTTCTTGGGTTTACCTTAGGTTTACCCATTTTATGGAGTCTTTTATAATATACATTATATACTTTAGGAGTGAAGTAGCTCTGATATATTATGATCTGCATCAGTTGGTGTTTCTAATTTTTTTGGTGAAAGAACTGTGAAAGCAGCATGAAAATTTCCAATGACATGATAAGCTTGTGGCTGTAGTTGATGGTTTGTTTTTAGTCCTTCATTCCTATTTATGATTCTTTTGGGCCTTTCGTAATGTAAGTTGTTGAATAGTCCATCAAATGTTTTTGTCATAAAAAAGGTGGCCAATATACCATTTCAATAGCAATGAAACAACTACCCAAATAAATCAGGATCCAGATTCTGTCCTTATTTAACTGTGGCTATTTGTTCTCATTGTTAAATATTGGAGTGTCACAGTAGTAATTTTTGTCAACAAAATTTCTCTTCAGAGCAGTGTTCTAGTATGAGTCTTCAGATAATTGTGTCACCGTACGAGTCAAGTCTCACTTGCATCTGCAGTACTTCCGTCGTACCTTAAACATTCTCCAGAATAAAATTATTTTTGTATTTTCTTTTAGTACAGTTGCCATATAATACTATATTGATCAAAAGTAAACTATATTTCACAGTTCCTGAAATTGATGTGATCTTAACTATCAGTACCATGTTATGTCATTCAATGGTCTTGTGTTTAGTTATATTTTTGCTAATTCATCTGCAAGATGATTAAATTTTATATTGTCATATGTTGGATGCCTTTCCCCTCACTGGCTTAGAACATGAAAAGTATGGAAAAAGCTAAAAGTGAAGATAAAGTATATCTGCATTTGTAGAATGATAGGGGCATAGTCTGTGTGAAAACTGAGATAGATTTGTTTTTATATAGGGCCATTCAGTTACAAGGAAGCTTAACTCAGATGGTAAGGTGGACACAACTCAGACTTTGCACAACTTGAATGAAGGTTTGTTCCTGTTGTCAGTGGTGACAATTTAGATGAAGTATATTTTAATTAGGTGTCACTGATGTTGTACCATTTTCTCAGGTGATCTTGATGGATTTGAACAAGCTTGGAAAGTTAATGCTGAAAAGCATTTGCCTGGAAGGAATGATGGGTTCAATGTCCGTGAAAGTGGAGGTAAGCATGGGTTGGTGTGTTTCCCCCTCCTTCACTCTAATTTTTTTATTGTAATCTAGGCAGGATTATCTGAATGTCTATATTCTTTGTGAATCCAATAGTTATTGTGCTGTATATTTGAGTTTCTTTTATTCTACTAATTGATACAGTATCTCCCTATCTCAGTTTCTGAATCCAATAATTATCGTCTTTGTAGGCCATTACCAGCTTTATCTACGATAATAGAATATTATATGTGTTTATCCGTGATAAGTACGGAGTATCATGGACAACTATAGTTGCCTTTTTCCTTCCACTTACATGGCATCCCCAAACAAGATTATTTTTTGTCCCCTTAATTCTTTTTGGCTGTTGGAAGGAAAACCCGACAATCCAAATGTGGCTAGCAAGCCAAAGCTGCCTATCCACCCACTTCCTTAGACATGCAATACTGGTCATTTTTGAGTAATTGATTTAAGTTAGATTAACCTCCACTTGTGTCTGAGCAATTCAATTTATGATAACTAAGGGAAATTTTGACGCATCCTGATCCTTTAACCATTAGATAAGCACTCTGATTGCTGTGTATCATTTGTACTCGTTACAAAAATTTTCTTACTGGGAGAATGTTTCATATTAGACGTGTTCTTCTCCCTCTCCTTTGTTATGTGCCATGTTTCTTAAGTGTTGGTTTTCAATAGTGCTAGCTGGGATTCTACTTACCATATTTTTAGTTGGTTTTACATTCTGCATGCAATGTTTATGCAGGGGCTAGCAGCAGCGGACAAGCAGCTCGAGGTGGTTGGGCTCTGCCATTCACAGAGTTCTCCGAAAGATCCGGACGAGTGAGACCTGGTAATTCTTCTGGGGTGAGGTCCAAAAAAGTCGTCACAATTAATATAGAATAAATTAGCATAAAATTCAAGGATTGGAGTACACAGCATAGTTCCAGAAGTAGCAGTTGTTATAGCTATACTAATAGGGTTGAATCTTGTGTACGTATCCTATTTCCCGGAGGATATCTCCCGAATAGCTTGCTTAACATTGTCATCCTATGTGTTCTGTAATTTCGTAATCGGATTATCAGAATACAGAAACATGATAGTGTCTGTAGCCTTCGAAAATGAATAAAAACTCTTGCTTGTGGTTCAAGCAGATAATATATTACCTCAGTTTGGCTGTTGGAGAATTTTTCCACAACACAGTTAGTTAATAAAAAATGATTATTATGTTGAATATAACAATGTTATTGTTTAATCTTATAATTGTGAGTCAAATTAATATAGCCCCACGAAACAGAAAATTAATGTTGGGGCGGTTACCATTGTCAATGCATCATATAATAATCATTATATATGCACACCAGATAACGTGATCGGACTTAGATCTCTGTGTTGGCTGTTGAGCAAATAATTAAGTATTCATGTACCTAATCTCAAGTATTTTCTAGTGACTACAAGGTGTTTGTCAAACGCAGATTCTCAAGTGTCAAATTATGACAGCTTATATAAACGATGTTATACAGTAATTCTTTGACCGGTTAGCCAAGAGTTATATATACAACCTTGATTTTTTCCTGGGGGATCGAACACTCAACCTCCTTTTTTGAAAAGGGAAAAGAGCTTATACTACTAAATATTTTGTGTATGTGAACATTGCAATAAAGGTTTTTCTTTTAACATAATATTTTTAAAGTTAATTTGAGGTTCTTAGGTTTAATTAATAACCACCAATAAAGGGTTTTAAATTTTTTTTTTTTTAAACCCCATGATGCAAATTTCAATATATTGACTCGTCTTTATGTATCACCAAAGAAATTATGTGACATCCACTGCAGGCCACCACCATGTCCTTCATCTACAGTAAAAACTGTGGATTTAGTTGAGAGTAATAATATTTATGCTTACTTGTTTGGTCGAAGAAGTAACTGAGATTCTTATGTAGTATTGTCAGCTATACAAATAAGTCAAGGAAATAGACTAAAGAATCATTTTCTTTTGGATGGTAGAGTGCGGTCAATTTATTGTAGGATCCAAACCTGTTGGCTTCTGCCCGTATGAACACAGACATCGCGTTGCTTGTCACCCAAAAAATGCTGCAAAAGCTTCAGCTTAATAATATATATTATTAAGGTATGCTTAATAATATATCACAGCTAATAAAGTATAATTATTTTGGGAATGGTGATATATTTGTGCCATATTAAAATTTAAGCATAGTATTTGCTCAAGTCTTAGCTAGCATAACTTCAGCTTTTACCTTTTTTTAGTACCAAGTGAGTACACTATATTGTACTGTTGCCCACCTAATTATTTTAAAAGTATATTGTTATAATACGATTCTTGTGAATATATATTTGAACCCTTGTTCCACGTTTGCCAATTGCCATGCAAGAATCTTTTTCAATAACAACCTTCCTCAGTACCTTGCATCTACTGAATGGTAAGAGATCGATGCTTCTATATGTATACCACTAATTAGTAGATGCAAGGTACTGAGGAAGGTAGGTACATATATACCTTCCTCAGTTCTCTACAACTAATAATTATAGGTATGAGCCCCATGCTTTCATATATGTATATATATATATATATATACACACACACGCGCATATATGTGTACATACATATATGTGTGTGTGTATATATATAAGGGGGCTAATTTTGAACAAAAAAAAAGCCTCCCTCATGACCAACACAGAAGAACAGGAGAAAAATGGCTTCTTGGTCTGCTGAGAATGCTACCAAAGCTTACCTCCAAACCCTTAAAATGGTATGAAAAATCCATCAATTTTGTTTTTACAAAACCTTCTAGGACTCACAACTAAAAAATAAGGTGTTCTTGTCTTTTGGCGTAAAAACAAGAGCTTCAGCAACTGTTTACTTGTTTCATACTATAGAGTTTAACCGACATCTTATGGCATGGTGTGATTGCATTTTCAAAAGCATAATTGTTTTTTTTTTTTTTTTTTTTTAAACTATCATTATATTTCACTCTCGTATGATCTCTGTTTGATAATTGATGTTAATAGGGAAAGGGAGAAAACGAGCCTGATGCAGCAGAGTTCATTTCCGCGCTCGCTGCAGGCAACAATAAGAAACTCATGGTCACGGCATGTGCAGGAACTGCTGGTTCCATCATACTAGCTTTAGTTGCCGCGGCACATCAAACTGGTGGCCGTGTAGTGTGCATCTTACCGGGGCCTAATGAGCTGCAAGCATCACAAAGTGCCTTGGGACACCATGCACGTTGTATCGAGTTTGTTGTAGGGGATGCTGAGACACTACTGTCGAAGGACTACAAGAGTGGTGATTTCATACTCGTCGATTGCAATATCAACAATCTCAAAGGAGTTTTGGTGGTGGCGCAAAGGGCTGTAAGTCATGGCGGTGCCCTAGTTGTAGGGTACAATGCCCGTCACGAGGGGTCGTGGTTGAGTGAATTGAAGGCACAATTTTTACCCATTGGAGAGGGGCTAATGGTGGCTAAAACAGCTGCAGGGAGGAGAATTGGTGGTGGTGGTGAGAAGAAGAGCCATTGGGTAGTTGAAATAGATAAGCATACAGGTGAGGAGCATTTTTTTAGGATCACATCACCTTAGGGGAAAGAGACTGTTGAAGCTTAGCGCTATTTATTTGGTCAGATTGAGACGGACACTACAAAATTTAGTGGTACCAACTTCAAACAGTTATTGTACATAACAAACATGTAAAATACGAATGGCTCTTTAATTAATTATCTTGAGAGGTTAGATGATGAGTATATTTTATTTGAATTTGTTATGCTTCGACTTTAATTTCCATGAAAATTAATTTCAGTGATGGTAAGATGTCTATTTGGTGGTTAGTTATATAGAAAAATGAATAATTATAAAAATGAAAGCTTTCCGCCATGAACTCTGAGAACTCCCAAGTTAAAATACATGGATAAGGGGTAAGATGGTAATATCCACACAAAATCTAATTAAGTTGAACAATGTGACAAGAATCTTTAATACGCAATTAATTTAGAATTTGAAACGACAAAAAAAAAAAAAAAAAAAAAAAAAAAGAGTAAGTACAGCAATTAAGGTTTGTCAAAAAGACATAGAAATGAAACTTAACTGTTTTTTTTTTTTGGACAAAAACACTCTTGAAGGTTCAAAAGTGGATAAAGACACCCTTAACATGAAAAATTGACCAAATTACCCTTTAATCATTTAGTGACCTATTTAACTCTACAATATAAAAAATTGAACCAATCTGCCCTTATGAACAATTTATGCATAAAAAAAGATAAATAAATAAATAAATAAAATTGGCAGTCTCTCTCTCTCAATAGACCAGAAGGCTCTTCCGAGAACACTCAGACCTATACTCCGAACTGGGTTGCTCAAACTTAGGCCTTCGGCCATGCCTAGAACCATATCCTGGTCCCTCCGGTTCCGGCCTTCGGCCATACCCACCCCTAAATTCTGAATCTGTTCATGCCGCCGTTCAGATAGTAGACGCGATGGCATAACTCCGGCTCAGCTCCAGTTCTGCCTATATTGGACGCGATAGCTCCAGGACCATCCATAACTTCAGCGCCTGCCCTTGGACCGGGAGGACCTTACAACACTTCACCACCGATCTGCTTGTCTTCTTCATCGACGGCGTCTCCAATACACCACCGAGGCACCGATTTGCTTGTCTTCGATCCGCTGCAAAATCCACAGTCTAATTGTTTCGCATAATAGTTTCCAGCGGAGGATGAGATCTTCGTCTTTTTTGAGTTTCCGGCGGTGAAGAGAGAGTTGAGGAAACTAACTGTGGAGGGAAAAATCTCCCTCCAATAAGAGCAATCCACGCCATCATAAATATAACTTTATCTTCAATAAAGGTCAAAGCCCATTTCGTCAGAAGCCCAAGTTGAGTTGGTCATTAGCCCAAAACTACCGCTATCTAACTACGGGCTTTACTAAAGCTCGAATCAAGATGCCAGCAGTCATGTGTACCAAGTTAGATGCGGCCCAAATCCATTTAAAGAAGGAACCGGTCCTGCAAGGAAAAGGATTCATCAAAGGAAGTAAGTTCTGTGTAAGGAAAATCCGGAAAGGGAAGAATTATAAAGAGGAAAGAATTCTATTTGTAAAGAAATTGATATATGGAAAGAATTAGAGTACAAGTAACGCGAGTCCTACCATAATTCTTCTAACTTTTGTATATAAATAGAGGCTCAGACCTCCAATAAAGGGATTCAAGCAATTCTACGCTTCTCTAGATACTGTTCTTATTGATTCTTACTGTTCTTGAGTGTGTTGTATTATTTTTTTCAATTGTTGTTGGTTGAGTAGAATTTTACACTTACACTTTGGCGCCGTCTGTGGGAATCGTGTGCAAATATATTCCCATTCTTGTTTTTGTTTCATAAGTGAATCCTGCGGCTAACCGTCCAGAATGTCGAACGGAGGATCTTCAGCAGATCAATAGACGGAGTTGATGCAAAAGATGCGTGAAGAGTTTCTGCACCAATTTGACGTACTTCGTCAGGCAAACGAAGCAAGCGTGGCTTAGATCGTCTTGCTTCAACAGCAGAATAACGTTCTACAAACGACGCTGGCTCAATTAGCACCGCCGCCACCAGTGGGTGACACAGCAGCACCCCCTAGTCAAAATATTCCTCCGATTACTGGACTTCCGCCTGATGGGGTTCCACCTAATAGGGCACGACCCAATGAGGTTCAGCCGAATAAGGTTCAGTAGCAACAGAAGGCAAGATCCGAGGCTGTGGCTTCAGATAACGTCCCTTGTCACACGCAGGATGAGCAGGTCGAATCCAGCCATAAGCTTAAGGTGTGGTCCAATGGAATTCCAGATGGTGCAGGTGTTCAGGATGCCTTTGACGAGAAGAGACTCCTGAAGATTCAAACACCTACCGAGATGGCTAGAGAACACAAAAATTCTTTGATCAAAACTCCTTTCACTGACGATGTGTATCTGGTAGAGAGGCCCAAGAAATTCACCATGCCTTCTTTCACCCAGTTTGATGGAATAGGGGATCATTTTCGGCACCTAGATCATTATGCTAAAAAGATGGCTTTGGATGATCGTAATGACCCTTGGATGTGCAGAGTTTTTCCTACCAGTTTGACAGGAGTAGCACTAGAGTGGTTCAGGAATAGACCGCATAAATCCATCCCGGATTACGTAACTCTATGCACCATGTTCCTGGCACAGTATTGCGGAAATAAAAAGCAAAAGAAAAGCATTGCCAGCCTCTTCACCGTAAGGCAGAAAAGGGGGGAAACATTGCAGGATTTCTTATCAAGATTCAACATGGAGGCATCAGAAATAGCGGATTGTCATCCCGCAACTGCTATAGAGACATTTAAGCTAGCAATGATTCAGGGGACGAAGTTCCACACTTCCCTAGTCAAGTATTCTCCTCCTGACATGCAGACTCTAAATGCCAGAGCCCAGATCTACATTTGGCTTGAGGAAAATATAGCCCACCAAGCGCAGCACGCTACCCTCGTAACAGTGGAAAACAAGCCTCGAGAAAGAATCCCAACTCCAAAGATTCAAAAAAACCAACGTTCCTCAACGCCAGTCACCCAGGCACTTGAAAAAAGGCAAAGGGTAGAGGAAGGATTTATACCTTTCCGAACTATCTTGGCTCGGCTCTTCCAAGAAAATAAGACGAAGTTCACAACTCCACAGCCAATAAAGCAACCCCCTGAGCAAAGGGACAAAAGCAAGCATTGCGCTCATCATCGAGATTATGGGCATTCAACCAACGATTGCTGATCCCTCAGGCGACAGGTGGAGAATATGATCGCTAGAGGTGAGTTGACGGATTACCTCTTGACAAAGGAGCATGCAAAGCCCCGCGAGGTCTATCCCCGCAAGGTAGAAGGTACGCAAGTAAAAGTCATCCATGCAATACATGGCAGGTCTGAAGATGATCAAGAGTCCGAGGAGGTGTACAGGTCCAGATTGAGGGCGACCCACAAGCTCAGGAAGATATCCTCGGTCAATGCTATCAATTCTGGTAGCATTAGTATTGGATTCGGAGATGGCGACCTATCCAGAGTGCAACTCCCCCATGAAGATCCATTGGTCATCAGTCTTTTAGTGGCCAATTGTATGATCATGAGAGTTTTGGTAGATCCAGGAAGTAGCACTAACATAATCACAAAAACGGTCTTTGATCAGTTAGAGATCACGTCATCATCTATTCGACCTACCTCCAGCCCGTTGATAGGATTCGATGGCACAAGAGTAGATCCCCTTGGAGTAATAGACTTGTCCATAACCACGGCGAAGAGGACTCTGAAGGAGAACTTTGTTTTAACAGAGATCCATCCTTCTTACAATCTCATCATGGGAAGAGGTTGGATACATCGGATGAGAGAAGTTCCGTTCACCCTCCACCAGGTGATGCGGTGCTTATCTCTGGACTGGAAAGAAGTAATTAATCTGTGGGGCGATCAAGTCGCAGCGAAGGAATGCTGTATGCTGACACAGGTTGAGGCGAAGAGGATGTCGACTCAACAGCAACCAGGTGAGGCTTCCAAAACTGGACCCAAATAGCAATTATAGAGCCCACTGCCCAAGTATCTTAAGGGAAAGGAGGAAGAGGAAATTGCGAAGCCCACCGAGGAGACCCTCGAAGCCGTGGAAGTTATCTTCGGCGACCCTCAGAAGGTTACTTATCTAGGCTCTTCTTCCACGTCCGAAGAAAATGAGGCATTAATTGATGTTATCCGGAGCAATACAGATGCCTTTGCATAGGATCACTCGGACATGGTAGGGATCGATCCCACAGTTTCCTGCCATAGTCTGAAGGTGGATCCGGAGTTCAAACCGGTCAAGCGAAAACACCAAAGGTTTACCTCTGAACGCAATCGCATTATAGCTGAAGAAGTAAACAAATTATTGTAAGCAGGTTTCATTCGAGAAGTACAATATCCGTAGTGGTTGTCGAACGTGGTAGTCGTGCAAAAGAAGAATGGAAAGTGGAGGGTTTGTGTAGATTAAACCAACCTCAACAAAGCCTACCCTAAAGATAGCTACCCTCTGCCCAAGATAGACCAGATGGTTAATGCTACCACCGGCTACGAGAGGTTGACATTCCTAGATGCATACTTGGGATACAATCAGATTCCTATGGACCCCGAAGATGAAGCAAAAACGACTTTTATTACAGAAAATGGGACTTATTGTTACAGGGTCATGCCCTTCGGACTGAAGAATGCTGGAGCTACTTATCAACGTCTTGTCAATAAGATATTCAATAATCTGCTGGGAAAGACAGTTGAAGCATATACAGATGACATGGTGGTTAAAAGTGTGAAGAAAGAAGATCATCCGAAGCATCTACAGGAAGTTTTCAATACTTTGAAAAAGTACAACATGAAGTTGAATCCATCTAAGTGCTCCTTCGCGGTATCATCAGGTCAATTCCTCGGCCACATAGTGAATAAAAGAGGGATAGAGGTAAGTCCAGCTCAGGCTAAAGCCTTCATCCAAAATCAGGAACCAAAAAATCGCAAGGAGGTGCAGGTATTTACTGGTTTGATCGCAGCACTCAGCCGGTTTATATCCCGATTGTCAGATAAGTGCAAACCATTCTTCGATGCTATACGATCCAAGAATAAAGATATATGGGGACCTCAGCAGTAGGAGGCCCTCAGTCGGTTGAAAGGTTACATGGCTGAACCACCCATTCTATCCGCTCCAAAACCCGGGGAGAATCTTATTATGTACTTGGCGATTTCTAATACATCGACAAGTGCAGCATTGATTAGAAACGAAGGAAAAAGACAATATCCAATCTTCTAAACAAGTAAAACCATGACAGATGCAGAGACGTGATATAGTAAAGCAGAAAAAGTTATCTTAGCTTTGATTTACGCCAAGAGGAAGCTTCGACATTATTTTGAATCTCATAGCATTGTGGTACTCACCAACTATCCTATACGGGGTATACTCTCTAAGCCTGATTTATCTGGGAGAATTACCAAGTGGGCTATCGAGCTTAGTTCCTTTGACATAACCTATGAGCTAAAGGTGTCGCATAAAGGACAAGCCATAGCGGATTTCCTTCTCGAGTATGAAGATACTCTTGAAGAGCCGGCACACCCAGAACCACAGTGGGAACTTTGAGTCAATGGTTCCTCGAATCAAGCAAGTGCAGGAGTAGGCGTTGTAATGTCAACTCCTGAAGGCACCAAGCTGCAGCAATCTATCTATTTGAAGTTCCCAGCTACGAACAATGAGGCCGAGTACGAGGCATTACTTGCTGGTCTTCGGTTGGCAAGCAGTCTCCAGGTATGTTGCTTAAAGGTTTTTAGTGACTCACAGCTTGTTATAAATCAAGTGACAGGTCAGTACCATCCCAAAGAGGAAAGAATGAAAGCATATAAAGAAGCTGTAGAGAACGTTGCACGGGGATTCGATCAGATCGAATTCTATCAGGTACCTCGTGTTGAGAATGCCGAAGCAGATCAATTGGCCACATCAGCGTCATCTTCAAATAAGGATTTGATTCGGATTGTACCGATTGACGTTCTAGACGAGCCCAGCATTAATCTTCCTCAGGAAGTAATGGTAGTTCCAGTTATTCCTCGAGAACCATGCTGGATTGATCCATTGGAAGCTTACCTCAAGCATGGGGTTCTTCCAGGCCAGAAGTCCGAAGCACGGAAGCTCCGTATCACCGCAGCTAAATATGCCATCATTAACAATCAGTTATACCGAAAGTCATTTTCAGGTCCTTACCTGAAATGTTTAAACCCTACTAAGGCTCTTGTGGTGTTGAGACAAATCCATGACGGAGATTGTGGTAACCATTCTGGGGGCAGGTCCCTCGCGCATAAAGTCCTGACTCGAGGTTACTTCTGGCCGTACTTGTCCCGGAATGCAGAAGAGTATACACGAAGGTGTGACAAATGTCAATGTCACGGTCCTATAAAGCATCAGCCTGCCGAAGATTTGCACGCAATGGCAAGTCCATGGCCATTCGCACAATGGGGGATTGATATGGTGGGCCCGTTACCCAAGACTGTGGAACAAAAGAAGTACGTGATACTGGCTACAGATTATTTCACTAAATGGGTAGAAGCCGAGGCCTACTCAAGTATGACCCATGAGCAGGTAAAAAGTTTCCTTTGGAACAACATCATTTGCCGGTTTGGGGTCCCAAAAGTCATTATGATGGACAATGGTAAGAACCTCGATAATAGAAGTACAAGAAAATTCTTTGCTGAGCATGGAATTGTACAAAAGTTAGCTGCGGTTAGTCATCCACAAGGGAATGGACAGGCTGAAATAACTAATAGGACAATTTTCAGTTGTTTAAAGAAGAAATTGGAGAAACTCAAAACGAAATGGTACGAGAATCTCCGTCAGGTGCTTTGGGCGTACCGAACCACACCACGGCGGCCTACGGGAGAAAGTCCCTTTGCCATGGCTTATGGATCTGAAGCTGTGATCCCAACCGAAGCGGCAGTCCCGACCCTTCGGACATTCTTATTGCTTGAAGGAAACAATAGTCAGCAGCTCGAACATAGTCTCGATATCCTGGACGAAAAAAGGGATGCTGTAGCAATTAGGCTTGCTTCATATCAGCAACAGCTGCGTAACAGTTATAACAAACGCGTCAGATTCAGGAGCTTTGTGGTAGGCGATTGGGTTTTGAAGCAAGAAACAGCTCATGTAATGTGATACCCCTCGGATCCGAGACACGGGTTGATCAAGTCCGACCCGAGTCCGAGGGATATCAAACAATTAATATGTTAAAATGAACATGAAATACAAAGTGATTAAAGAAATAATATAATGAGCGGAAAGAAACTAAAATAAATCCTCAAATATAACTATTTAAATCTTGACAATCCAAACTCCATAAGTTTACAACTCGGGAATCCATCTCTAGTGAACCCCTAATAAAACCCCAAACTGCATGGAAGTAAAACTGAAGATAAAATCCAAATCTAATATCTGGAAAGAAGTCCTACGTTGTCGGTAGAATAGAAGTCTGTATCTGCTCTGCACGAACAAACTCTAACCCTGGAACTGACGAGTACCTGAAAAATATAAGGGTGGGTCAGGCCCACATGCAAGTCCTGATCTACTACAATCCAAACAGGAATCCGATACGCAGATACATACTAGAAAGACTCAACAATATCTAGAGTAGTCCATATATGTATAAGTACACACTATAGGACGCTCACTAGTCCAAAAAGGTTTGTCTCAGCCTGAATAGAGATACCATGCAAATCGCACATACTGTGGTCATGTGTATCTAAACCTACCAGGGAACAACACCTCTGTCCAGCTATCCATCCTAGGCAATATACGCACCCTAACCATGGTCCTGAGACTCAAGCTCATACCATGGCCCATATAATAAATATATAAAGTCCGTACTCCTAATACAAAATATCATCCATCTGTATAGTGGTCTGATATATGTATAACAAATCCATCCTGAAACCATGGTAGGTCATTCAATTTATTTGATTGACATGACATAAGTAGGTGATGGACTTAACCTTTATGATTAATCCATACCTTAATTCAATTTGGGTAGGACTTAGTGTTTTGAGCTAATCCATTCCCAATATGACACCGTCCCATACCGGTTCATATACATCTATTTAAGTAGGACTTAACCTTTGTATGGTTAATCCAACTCCTTCCAAATTAGGTAGGACTTAGTGTTTGTACTAATCCATATCTAGTATGCCATCGTCCCATACCGGTGCATACAATCCTCCAGTTCCATAGTTAATAACACA